TTATTGTGAAGCAGTAACGTCTGTTTTGTTTGCAGTGGAACACGCGAGCAAAACGAGAGAAGCTTACAGAGTTGATGTTTGAGCATTACAACATTCCTGCCTTCTTCCTGTGTAAATCAGCAGTACTGTCTGCGTATCCTTCACTGTTTTATTCCGTCCAGGAATGAAAACACTTTGACAGAAACAACTGGGTTGATTTAATTATTACCTTTTTTCTTCAATGTTGGGTTTTCTGCTTATTTATGAAACACCACCTCTGCTAACAGGTAGTGTATACTTTGAACCCTCTCTCTGTGTTTCCTTAACTTTAAATGCCCCAGCTTTGCCAATGGACGGTCTACAGGTCTGGTCTTGGACAGTGGGGCCACACACACAACAGCAATTCCAGTACATGATGGTTATGTCCTTCAACAAGGTAAAACCACAAAACAAAGAGTTTTATATCCAACACTGGGATTTAATTTGTAGTATGAAACCAAATAGGAAAAAAATTGGTTGGAATTTAAAGGTGGATTGTCTTTTCTCTGCGATTTGATGCCCTCTGCTGGTTGGAGTATGTCTTGATGATTTTCTGCAGTAATTTTTATTCATGCTGCAGTTTTGGATGAATGGGTTTAAGTGATGCAGCGGTCTCTGTGCTCCGATTATTGAAAAATAGGAATGTTGATGTTTTTAGTAGCATATTATTAGGCGCCATGTCTTATGATGATCTTATTCTAATGGTTTGACTACTTTGTTCCTGAAACTAACTTCAATTCTTACAGTACGTTTAAATATCAATGCATTCCTAGAGCCTCTAGACACGTTAATGTGTTTAAAACTCATCAGAATCCTCATTTGGGTTTAAATGTGGTGGACCAAAACACAGCAGCGTTTAATTACTTTCCTCTGATAATACCTAAAGTAAAGTCATTTAGTAAACAGAGCTCAGTTGTCATTAACAGTAAAAAAAAAAAAAAGAGCTGTTTTCGATTGCTTAGCTTCTAATAGAGCCCTGTTTAATCATCCAAAAGCTGAAGGAGGAGTACCAAACTGCAAACATACTGACGTTTTACTCTCCACCAATGAACTGAGAGGCTGGATGAACATAAATCCGAGAGTCTGCCAAGATGTCCATGGGATCTGTTGAAGATCCATTGCATCTGATTGGAGAATTCCTTGAAACTCGCTTCTGCGCTGCTTTGATTAATAATAAATTCAGTCCTTAACAAGATGTGAAAAGGTTTTAGGGCGTCTGAAAGCTGTATGGAGAGAAAAACCAGCTTCACTTCGTGCAAATTCTGATCAAACACTGAAGCAGAATCCAAACAATTAAAAAGTGTAATTTATGTGAATTCATCAGAATAAAAACTGAGATCAATTCGTCACTCTCCCAAAGTAAAGCTGACCTCATGCTGTTTTTAATCTCTCGTTTATTTTTGGGCAGGCATTGTAAAATCACCTCTGGCTGGTGATTTCATGAGCATGCAGTGTAGGGAACTGTTCCAAGAGTTAAACGTGGAGATAATCCCTCCCTATATGATTGCCTCAAAGGTAAATATAAGGTTTATTTTTTTTCAAAACTCAATAATTTTAAATTTAACCTTTACGTGGCTGACTTTGCTAATCTGCGTCTGAATTTGTCCCAGGATGCAGTGCGGGAGGGAGCCCCAGCCTGCTGGAAGAAAAAGGAGAAACTACCTCAAGGGACTCGGTCCTGGCACAACTACATGTGTAATGTAGGAATGAGCTCTTCATTTGTTTTAATGGAAAATAAGGATTTCTTTTAAAGTCTGGAAATGAATGAGTGCTGTTTTCTGTGTCTTGCAGTGTGTAATTCAGGATTTCCAGGCATCTGTCCTGCAGGTTTCAGACTCTCCATACGATGAACAGTGAGTTTGACATAAATTTACATTCATTCCAAAATTACTTTTTACAATATTGTGTAAAAGATTTATCATTTATACACAAAATATTTGGTATACCCCTGTAAATCACTTAAGTAAGGTCTTCCCCTCCAGAACTCGGGAGTCTAGACTGCAAAAAAAAAAAAAAAAAGGTCGCTTGTTGTATTCCAGTGTGGTTCTCTGTTGGATGCCACTTCTGGAAGTGTTCTTGTTCAAAAATACTGTGTCAGCTAAGAGTGGTGAAATTGTCAGGAAGTAAGTTTAGGCACAACCGTGCAGACTTTCTGAAGGGTCAAGAGTTACAGACCTCGAAACTTCATGTGGTATACAGATTAGCATAACAAGCCTTGTGGAATTGATCCCCATGGCAGAGCCGCTGCATCCAAGCCATACATTAAGTGCAGTGCAAAGCTTTAGATTTAGTGGTTAAAGAGCGCCACATCTGGAGTCATACTAGAGACCAGTTCTCTGCAGGGACCCATCAGGTTTTTGGCGACTGGTTTGGGTTGGGAAGTTTCCTAGGTAACAGCCCTTACCCGTATGGATGGGTACTTATATAATTTTTGTCTTATTGTAATAATGTAATTAGAAAGTGTTTTTATTCATCCTGATGATAGTCAAATTCAAATGAATGTCTGAATTCCCCCAAAAGTCAAAATAGTTTTAGAATACTACATTACATGCATTTACTTTGTGCAATTTAGTTTAAACATAAATGAAAAAATGCCTTCTCTTTTTTAAAAATGTGTGCATATTAATAGTGATTAGTCAAATTAATGGTGAAGTGCAATGGAAAAATGTTACAGCTGTATGGTTGTTTACAAAAATAAAAGAAGTATTTAATACTTTGTCACCTTTTAAATGACAACGTCTTGAATAACTAATACCACAAATTATAGCAATATTTTAAGTATACATTTCCCAACTCTACTTGCCAGACTATATTTTGTTTGGGGATGTTTATTTTTATTTTTTGTTTAAACCCTTGAGATGGCTTTCCAAGAACTCTTATTTTGTAGCAGCAAAAGTTGGCCAACATATGAAAGCCTTTATTTGAGAAGTAGGATGATGTTAAAGTTCATGTGATTTAAAGAACCAAATTCTTTTAGTAGAAAACATTAGAAAACACATTTCTAATGTGAAAACACATTTCTAGACCACAAATAAGCTTTTTATGGCTTTTTTTTCATTACATAGTCCCCAATAAAAGTGTGGCAAAAAATGCAGAATGTTCAGGTTCTTAACAATCAATATTTTTTCTGTTCTTCAGTAGACGTGCTTTTTTCTATCTAAATGATCTTCTCTTCATCTTATTTCATCAGAGTTGCTGCTCAGATGCCTACGGTGCACTATGAGCTCCCTAACGGCTACAACTGTGATTTTGGTGCAGAGAGACTGAAGATCCCAGAAGGGCTGTTTGATCCCTCTAATGCTAAGGTTTGTGCGGATTCATAAGGCAGCGTTAAACTGAAATTATTCTTTAACATTTAAAGATGGTAAACATACTCGGTGACCCCAATAATTATTTTTATGAAGGACTAAATGTTTAGGTCATTTTCTTAAGGAATGATTTGACATAAGAACTGCTCCCCTCCAGGGCCTTTCCGGAAACACCATGTTAGGAGTTGGCCATGTGGTGACGACCAGCGTAGGAATGTGTGACATCGACATTCGACCTGTAAGTGTTGACAGCCATTTAATATATTGCAACTAAAATCTTCTCTCTTTTTCCCAAAACAAAGATGATCAAAATACGTTTATTACTGCAGAAATGCATTGATCGGTTTGTGGCAGATGTCTCTAATCTTGTTTCAGATACTAAAAATAGTTAACTTTTAGTCTTCCTCTCCCTAACACCATTTTGAATCCTGTAACTTTTTGTTACGTTGCCTGTTAGTACTTATTGTTGTTGGTATAATACAGTCACTAATTAGAAAATGAGTTTCTCCCTGGATTTTCAGTTTAAAATAGTCTGATTTACTTGTTTTCTGTGTATCTCTTAGTCAGTAATGAGGGAAGTGATTGGCTTCCAGTTTCTCTTCTAATGTTTTGATTTCGATGCATCAAAGGGTCTGTATGGCAGTGTGGTGGTAACTGGAGGAAACACACTCATTCAGGGCTTTACTGACCGACTGAACAGAGAACTTTCACAGAAAACTCCTCCAGTAAGATAAAGTCATCTTTTTTACATCATTTTAAACCACAAATTAAATGATCTTTGATTTAGCTGCTGGAATCCCCCATGTTTGTAATTTACAGAGTATGAGGCTGAAGCTGATTGCCAACAACACTACGGTGGAACGCCGCTTCAGTGCATGGATAGGAGGCTCCATCCTGGCATCACTTGTAAGACCATGTTCAAGCTTTTTTTTTACATAAGCTACTTAGCATTTCTTACTTTAATTGAATATGTAAACATTAGTTTACTTTGGTTGCCTGACTGAATGTTTTATCTTCTCCAGGGAACTTTCCAGCAAATGTGGATTTCTAAACAGGAGTATGAGGAAGGAGGAAAGCAGTGTGTGGACAGAAAGTGTCCTTAATGTGACATCCAGCCTCAGCTTTTCTGTTCCATCTCCTTTACTAGGTTAACATTGTGAGGCATTCACCTCTGACCCAGACTCAGGAACGCTCAACTCTTATTTTCTATTTGTTTCTTAGAGTTGGTCACCTGTCAGGATCTCAAAGAAAAACGTCAACTCCTCAAAGATCTTTTTTTTTTTTTTTAAGACTCAATACAGACTGTTGCCTTATCTGTTACCTGTTGATGGAAATGATGCAGTGATACATTGTTAATTACATTTAGTGGAAAGTCAGAAACACTTGTGCAGGATCACAGCAGGAAACTAAAAGGGTAAGACCATAAGTGATAAAAGGTTTTTAATCTGGAGGAAGCATCATATAACTTGATGTAAATGTCTTCTGTTTATTTTGTACAATTGGTAAATTTGAGAGCATTTGCCCCTGGTTAGTCATATTTCAACTAAAATCTGTATTTAATTCATTTTTTACTTGTCATTGGCTTCATATGATCTTTGAAAAATAAAGTCATTTTTGTTATGGTTACATGTATATTTGAAATTTAAAAGTTGTTTATTTTATAAGTCTGAGGTTGCAGTTTATCTTGTTTAACAAAATTTCATGAACTCAATCAGGTCACTCTTTTATAGCATACTCCACTGGGGGAAAAAAAAAGTTTTGCAGTTTCATGAAGATGGAACCTTCATCTGAGGAAACCTCTCCTTTAATTTGGCCAAGCTTTTCCTCTTTAAATCTGCTCTCCTGGCTTTTTCCCGAAGGAATTTCTCAATACGCAACCTGTCAGAAACAAACAGAAAAACAGGCTTTGGTAAAATCCCTCTTACATATCAAATAACAAATTCAGCAAACAGTTCATATGATCTTACCTTATGTGAGGCTGGACGAAGTAGGGTGTGTAGAATTTCTTGCGCTTATATCTTTTATTCATGTACCACGGAATTGCATACTCCTTGAAGCGATACCTGGTATAAAGCGGGACCATATATTACAAGTGTCATGTGTTTTTTATATGACTAGTAATATCCAGATTAGATCTACATTTAAAAGCGAAGTGTATAATAATTACTTACACTGATGTATGTTATTTATTACCACCTATGAGCTGAAAGTCTCAATCTTTGTTTGCATTGTCTTAGAAATTGCTATTAATAATTAGGAGTGTGTATTTGTGGAGCCAGACATCTGGCGCTATGACAGAACAGCTGTCGAACTAGTCACTATAGAGATCACCATTACGTTCGAATGGGACTATGGCAAGCAGGCAATCAGTAAGGAATCACCTGAAGAACGAGTTCTATGACCGGTCAGATCTGGCCCACTATAGTTTCCCACTGAAAATTAACGCTGGTGTTTCAAACATAGTTCGACCCGCTAACAATCAGCATTTGGTTCCCTTCCCACTGGCAAAAAAAGCTGGGTCTAACCCCTCGCTGCAGCTACGTGTCTGGTGAAGCATTGATGTCAACAGTGCAACAGAAATCAGGAAAGTAAACAACAGAGAAACATGCAAGGAAGCCAGGGTGTAGTCAGTGTGCTTTGTTTTGCTATTTTGTCCCTCCCAATCTTTCTCACCAGTGCTGCTCCATGTTTATCAAATGTAAAAAGAGTTGTTTCTCCTTTTTAGATCAGAAGCGACTGGTGCGGTGTGCTGACGTTCGTACTTTGCAGTCAATGGTTTTATGCAATTTAGCAGGTTAACCTGGCGCTGGTGTTCCCACAGCATGCAAATCAGAGCTGAGGTTGTTTTAACGTTGGTCAGAATCTGCGGGCAAACTGAGCGACGGAGCGGGATAAGAGAAGACATTGGGTGGTAAAACACGAAACAGTCCCTCTAGGGCCTTTTAAAAGCCACTCACAAACCTTTTAGAAGCATTCCCTGCTTCATTTGTATTGTCTCCATATTCCATTTTAATTTAAAAAAAAAAGCTAATCCCTGCCGCCTCGTTTACTAAATTATCGTTCAATTCATGATACTTTCTCATCTCCTCGTTTGTATACTTGTCAATTTACTTGTGACAATAGTAATGTAGATTTTATGGATTTGAGGCTGTGATCTAATTTTTATCGTTGCAATCTGACATTGTAGCTTTAAAAATATGCTGATATCAATAAAGAAGAAACTGAGATGAGAGGGGGCCAGGTAAAATAGACAGTAATTTCAAGATGAACTAACAATCTCTCACCAGTATTCAAATCCGAACATGTTCCTCCTCCAGGCTCCCGGTCGGCCTTTCTCCTGTCCCGTCTGCAGCAGACGTAATGCCGTCTCCCTTTCGTTCACCACCGTGTCCAGCCTGATCATTGACCGCTCCACCTGTGGGCACAAGGACATTCCCATTAGACAGAGTTTTGATTTCAGCATCATTCAATAATTTGCAGACATGAGCTACAAACTAACAGGAAGCGAACCAACCTTCCTCAGCCGTTCAGGACTCGGCATCTGGACCCTCTGTCTTTTTGCTTCCTGCTCCAGTGTTAGCAGCATGTTCCTTTCCTTCAGCAGCACATACCTGAAAAAGAATTTAGGTTTGCTTTCACAATGTATAACTTTTTATTTTATATATTTATTTATATAAAGCTTTCATTGCAAAAACATCATGGGTGTGTGCTATTCTAATGTTTATTTGAACCAGCTTCTACAGACTTCCCAAAGTCCAAAAACTTTCGGCAGAGCCTTTAGCTGTCTCAGAAACGATAAATAGGCGCATATTTTTAAAGCAATTATCAGATCGATTATTTCAAACCCAACATTTAATTTCCTAGGAAGTCTGTGATAACCAGCCTCTCATGGAGGTATCAGTGAGTACTCTGCCTGCAGCATTTTATGGAGGTATTTGGACATCTTGCTAACTTTGCACTGCAATAGTACTGACTGGAAGTGACTGCTTAGACATGTTTTATCACTTTTAATCTGGGAAAAGAGATTTTGGCCCATATGTGGTAGTTAGGACTTTTTCATTTTAATGAGACTTAAAGTAAGCTACCAGAAAAGACTAGGTTTCTCACTAAAGTAAAAACAAGAGTAAATAAAACCAAAGTAATAATATAAAATGTATAATAAGTAAATCAAGGGTCAAATAAAGTTCAGTCTGGATATTGTGGACTTTTTCTTCAAGACAAGTTTGTACTTTTCCTAGATTTCTTTCTCTAGAGTGTATTAAGAAATATATCAGAATAACACAAAACAATGCATTATACTTTCAAAGGGTATCAGAGGCTTCCAATTGCTCACCAGAGTTTGTGTAAGTCCTCATTGCTCTTTGTTCTCAGCTGTTTTGCTGTCCATGGAGCTCCTGTAATGAATTAAACAGTGACAGACAACCTTAAGATGAGATTATGCATCAGGAAGGACACCTGATTCTGTAATTTTTCATATATCCTGAATCACTTAAGTACCGGTAGTTTAATTTTAAACTGTTCCTATAAAAAAAATTACTTCTATGTAATTTTAAACTGCTCCTATAAAAAAATTACATAGAAGTACAACACCTTCATGCCAAGCCCGGGAACTGACATGGGGGAAAAAAATATGTAACATGAGGCCGAAATATCTATTCTTTCCAATGAAATACTAATTCATGGACGCTTTATATGGCCATTATAAGCATTTTTGCTGTGTTAAAACATTTTGTAAATTTTCTAAGTCCATCTTTTGAAAAGCCTAAAGAGTCTAAAGTCATGCATTTTCCCCTCTACGTTCTTCCTTGGTGCAACACAGCACTGACTACATTTTATTTCTCAAACACCTGAGTGGCCCATCACAAACTATTGGTACTAGAGAATCCACTTCCTAATCACCCTTTTTTTCCCAGCAATAGAAACCAGTTAGAACCAGAATTTTAAGAGGTGGGCCTATAGGCTTCACCCTTAGAGCATATCGCTGGTGGGCTAAAGGCAGAATCGTCCAGACCCAAAAAAAAACAGCATCTGCCTACACGGTCGGCCTTCACCACGTGTAAATATGCAGCCAAGTAATACAGAGGATAAATGGTCTCTGGTCACCTCAGAGCCAGAGATCACTGCTGCCCTGAATCGTGAAGACAAGGTTACTAGCTGTAACAGTACAGAGAAGTAAGAGAACAGAGGCAAAGCGATAAAAAAAATCCATAGCTGGCTCATGCGTAATGATGCAGCATAACAGGCACTGTGTGTGTAAAGCGCTGCTGCAGATCTAAATAAACTCTGACCACTTGAGGTTTGATGAAACTCGGCTCTAGTTACTTTAATGATCTAGAAGTCACTTTGTGGGTTTGAGGCTCCAAGTCATCTTAGGGTGATAAGTGATTGTATTTTTTTTTTTCTATCATTTTGAAGCTGTTCACGCTAAAAGAGACGGTCCTTTCTCTTCTCTTTCTCCTCCACATATAGATCATATCTGTGCCATGTTACAAACTGCACTCCCTATTAGATGAGCATATTACTATGAGACAAGTAAAGTGTTAAAGGCTAACACCTATTGGAGAGCAGCAGTGTTATTTTACAGCACAGCAACACACATCGGTGCATCTGGTCATCTTTTATACATGGCTGTAAATATTTTTATTTAAATGCCTCACTAATGAGAAATCAGATTCTCTTTAAAGTTGACCAAACACTTAAAATAAAAATTAATCAGCCTATACTTGTCTGTCATATTGGTTTGTTCCTCTGTTCCTGAAGGTGCGCTGTAGGAGGATTATGATTTTGAATTTTGTGAGCACCAATCGCTTATGCTGTGGCCACAAATCAGTACATCAGGAGAACAAGTCTGCACACAAATGTGTTTTTCCAGAAAACGAACTAGTATTTTGTAGGAATTAATAGGTATTTCATGTACACATTATATACTTTTCCCATGTCCTGGGCCCCGTACCTTTACATAAGTTCTAGTAAATGTATTTTTTCACCTGACTTCACAGTGGACTCTCCCCAGTTCTCAGGGTTATCAAAGAACTCTTCCAGGCCTCTTCTGCTGACGCTCGTGTGCAGAGCTCGATGCTGAGCCACAGAGTTGATGGGAGAGATCCAGGGAGGGGCAATCAGGGAGATTCTTTCACTGAAGGAGGAAAAAAGATGCACATATGATTAAATGGTATACAGATCGCTCCTTTGGAACATTCAGGCAAGATGGAGTAATCCTTTTTTATGATTTTTTTTTTATATCTCAATACATTTACATTATTGAATACCAAATGAAATGTCAGAACCTGACCACAGCTATTACTATTTCAATGCAGTTAAAAAAAAAATGTTATGCACTCCAAGACTAACATTCTGGAAAGTTGAGTCCAAAACATTCACAATGTTGGGCTTCATCATCTGTATGTTTAACAAAACCAGTCAGACCTTGTTTGGATTATCATTAACTAATAGATTCTTGATGGGATACATTATCATATGTATTATTGAGCATAAAAATGAAGAGAAATAGATTGTTTTAATGTAAATTTTCATCTTTCTCAATATGTATTAAACGTTAGCATCACTCTGTAAATATAACTCATAGTACAGCCTTTCAATGATTATAGTGTTTGTAAAAATCTGTTATCGATTACACATTAAAGCATAAATGGGGATCTTTTAGTAATTCATGTTTTGTTTAATTTAACACATCTTTGAAAAAACCTGCAGTGCATTTGACCAAATCTTGTTTCATGGTCCATAATTAAAACCAACAGAAAGGCCAAAGGTGGAGTCAACCAATCAGATAAAACAGGAAATCTGTACCAGAACGAAAACCCTGATTGGTGGATGTCAAAGTTAATCAGTTTGATATTACCAGATCAATTGAAGATGAAATGTATAGTTTTATTTGTAAATTAATCTAATAATGTTGTAATTTACTTTAAAGAGACATATATTATTTTTATAAAATGTGAAATAAGGCTTGGAAACTCATATTTATCAATTCTTTGTGATCCTTGCGAGAATTTATATGAAGTAAAGGGAAATCCAGTCGAGGTTTACGTTTAGTTTGAGCTCATCATTGTCAGAAAGAGCAAATAAGTGTGCATTACAGACGGATTGAAGGTTTGATTGGTCTGCTTATTTAAATAATAATAATAATACATCCGCACGGTTATACTAGCCTACCTTAGAAGATTTTGCTGGCAGATTTTCAGATTTATGGAGAGGTGCTGAACGTTTATCGCTGGAGATATCCTGAAGACGCTCTGAAACTGTTTGCACAGAGTCAAAACGCGTCCTACCGAAGAGGACGACGCCATGTTTAATTACGATTACCCAACATGCATTTCGTGTAAATTATTTTTATTTATTGACTTTTTTTTTTTTTACATTTTTTCTATCATAATTAGACACGTGTTATGTTAACTAATATACAAATACAAATGATAAAGAATAAGAGGGGAAGCAGTTCTAATTATTGTATTACTTTATTTCTTCTTGAGCCAATCACAGCGCGGCTTGTTGCGCTGTCGCCACAACAGCAATGGTGGGCATGAGCCTTCTCAGGTCGGCTGCTGCCTTTGCAGCAAGGTTTGGTCCTCTGAAAGCTGGGAACAATGCGGCGAATTTACTCACTCGTTCCATCCCGCGGAGTGATAAAGGTGAGACGATTTCCACTGCTGTAAATAGACCAGCTTTGAACCCTAAAATCGGCTCCTTTTTGCGATGACCTTGCGCTAGGTCTTGTTAGCATGCTAAGACAAGCTAAATGGAGACTTGCCTTCTGTTATCAATTCAGTATTTATATGTAGGTGCTATTATTTGCTGATGATACAATATTTTGCTGTGTGAAAAATTTACAGTGTTCAAGAGCTGGTTTGTTGAGAATAAACTGATATCAAATTTAAGCACAAAAGAGGGGAACATTTATTATAGGATAAGCAACATAGAAATAGAAAGCTGCTTCAATTAAATTTCTGGGAGTAATGGTTGATGACAAATTAAATTGGAAATCGCATATTAGCTAAACATCTTTTAAGTCTGGCCTCATTTAACACTTTTCCTTGTTCTTTTTTACTACCCTGCTTAACTTATTGTGTGGAAGTATAGGGAATTACTTACAAAAATACAGAGAAAAGCAATTAGAATAGTCTAGTGCTGATTAAAGCCAACAGACCAACTCTACATTAAAGTGAAAGCACAAAAATTAAGAGATTTAGTTGATTTAAATATTTTATAATTTATCTTTAAGGTTATCCATTAACTAGTACCACAAAGTATCCAGGAGTTGTTTTGGGGGAGGGCAACTACATAAGACCTGCGAGGTGCATTTATGCTGAAGATGCAAAGAACAAATGCAAAGGATCGCTGTCTATCAACTAAAGGAGTTAAGTTATGGAATAACTGTAGCGATGAAATGGAAAGGTGTAATCAAATGTAAAGATTTAAAAGGCTTTTCCGAAGCTTTTTTGGACAGATATGAATTATGTAAGGGTGTTCTTGAAAAACAAACAAATCATTATTTAGATTAGTGCGTGGGAGTATTTATGTATATATTGCCTGTCGTTCACTTTGTCTGAAAAAGAATGATTTTAAAAAAGTGATCTTCAAATGGGGGTCTTGCTACGTTTATATCACAAGGTGTTCATTTATATATTTTTATGTTAAATCTTAATATTTTTCCTGATGTCTATTTCCAACAGAAAAGCATTTAAAAAAAGATATGTGTGTGAACACACACACACATCTGTTAAGGTGATATATTACAGTAGATTGCAAGACATAACCGTATATTTTGACTGTGTAGTGTAAATAATATTTCTATAATGTACATATGTAATAAATTAGATTTTTTATTTTTTATTTTAGAGGTTGAATCTGCTTGACCTTTTTCATGCTTATGTTGGTCAATAACTTTACGCTGACATTTAAAACAGATAAATATTTTACAAAACTCTGTTTATTGTTGTGAAACACCATTGTAAATATTGCACCAATTGTTATTGGCGTAGACAGGATCATGATAGTAACTATTGCTCTTTTTCAGTGGCGATCCGTTGGGGTCATGGAAAGAAAATGTTTGTGGTCAAACCTTCTGACTATTATGACAGAAGATTCCTGCGCTTATTGGTGAGTATTGTAGAATAGGTTATTTGTGGGATAAAAAGGTTCTAGACTGAACTTAACTACTAAATGTAAATCAAAAAGCCTACCTTCTTGGACATAATTATTGTTAATTACAAATAGTATGATTACCTTTTTTTTTAATGCAGTTTTTATGCATTGATCTTTGCTAGTCTATCACATCCTGGCAAAATATACAACAGATTTTTTAAATGTTTTTTGAGAATCCTGGAAATTTTTCAGAAGACAATTGACATCTTAAGAAAAGCACTTTGTAGCTACACTTATATGACAGTGGATAGATGTATTGAAAAGGACTGGTTGTTGTTGAATGGGGTCTTGATTTCATCTTTGCTTGAGGATGTGACCGAGAGAAAACTGTTAGGTTTTCACCCTTCCATTTTCTTCCTTCTATTATTTTTGCAGCAATATTATATCCTGCTGACTGGTATTCCAGTTGCTGTATTTGTAACAGCGGTGAATGTCTTTATTGGTAAGTACATTTGTTTTCAGAAGAGTTTAGAGTCTTGTACGTCTATGTACCCATTTAGTCTTTCCAATAAATATTTAAAGGAAAAAAAACAAGTCCATTATGTAGCAGTGATCATAAGTTGTACATATTTTTTTATTTTGTAGGTGAGGCAGAGCTTGCTGAAATTCCTGAAGGCTATGAACCTGAGTATTGGGAGTACTACAAGGTGTGTTCCTGTTCCTGTTGGCTTTAACCACTGTTTTGGGAATAGTTTGGTTCTGGTCTGGTAATATTTAGATTAAGAAACCATAGCACTAAAGAAACACAGAAAAAGCTTTGTTTGTTTCCTTATTGTTCTTTTAATGTTTATTTATTTTATTTATTTACAGCTGTGCTCTCTTTTATTTATTATTGCACTTATGAAAAGACATGAGACTTTTGTTTATCTTTTGTAGCCTATGAAATATATTTTTGTATATATATTTTTTTACAAATGAAAACAATTTGACTGTGGTTACAGGAGTTTTAATTTCTTTGTTTAAGGAGTATTGAAACATACACTGTTCTATAAAAAGAAATAAGAAGAACTGATAAAAAAGGAAATGTATTGCTCTTTTTCCGAAGGTGCTTCATTGTTAATATTTGGTTGTTTTTGTTTCAGCACCCCATCACCAGATGGATTGTTCGGAACATTTATGATTCCCCAGTGAAAGACTATGAAAAGGTGATGGCTGCTATCCAAATGGAAAAGGAAAAAGCAGACATGAGGTAAATACTAGTTTTTCTGTCACAAAACTAAGACCGGATGAAATCTTAATGAAATCGAAATGTCTTTATGATTCCTTTTTTGCAAAAAGCACATTAACATGCCTGAATTTCAGATGCTAAAATGAAAAACAAATAATATATTTCTTGGATTTAAATAGATTCTCAGGGCTAAAACTTAAACTGTTTGTAGGGGCAGAAGTCCCACCAATAACATAGCCCCGTCTCCCTGGGTATAAAATGCTGCAGGCAACCAAAAGAGACAGGTTGATTGTCCTGTAGATTATTTCAGGCTGCGCCATCACTGAAATCATGTTATGACGTTAAGATATTTTTCTGATGTGTTTTCTAATCCCTAAACAGACTGACACAGCTGGAGGTGCGTCGGCAGATGAGACAGACCGGAGACGGCCCCTGGTTCCAGGTGCCAACTCTGGACAAGGAGCTAATTGACAACAGCCCCAAATCCTCACCTGACAATTAAGAAGGGTGTTAAAGCTGCATCATGGGCATCAGTCCAACTGTTTGTAAATTTTTCCCTTGTTGCTTTAATAAAGTATCTTTATGTGGTCTGATATCCAGTTTTTGGCTTGACTCTGCTGATATTTACAAGTGTCCCATCCATGAGGTAACTTATCCTTTACTTCTAGGAGGTATGACATTATTTTCCAAGCCTTGAAAAAATCAACATCTCTTTCCAAAGACAAATGTTTAATGAAAGCCATAGATCACACAAATAATGAATTCCTATTAATGACTTTATTTTAGACTTTTTGCTGTTAAAAGTTATGTTATTCCTTTTGTCCACTAGATGGCATTACTCTTCGTTTTGAAGAATGTTGGACCGTTTCTAACTCCTGGATTCTTGTTATGGTACTGCCAATACAACTATACACATTGGATCATTATGTTTTAACTTAAAAAGGTGAAAAATGTTTAGGCTGCATTTGAGCATCTCTAGATTAGATCTTGATACAAGATTGATCCGAGCCTGATATTTCGTGAACAGAGTTGGTTTAAAAAAAATACCCAGTCTGAGATCCTTAAAGCTTTTTGTTTATAAAGGACTTCAGAAAATAGCTGATGTGCTCTACTTAGTTCTAGTGAGAACACAGGCAGCTGCAGCTGTGTGTGTTTTTTTTTTTTTTTTTTTTTTTTTGTATGCAAACCTATGAAGACACATGCAGGAATCAATTCTACTAAAGATAAATTCATTTTCTAGATCCTGCTTGGACAGTAAAAGCCTGACTTAGTAACTGTCTTTATGTACCTCTGAAGGTTCCGGACTGAGTCCATCATGACACCAAGATTTCAGCCATAATCAGTGGTTTGTTGCTGTAGTAGCTTGATTGACTTTATTGATCTCATAGTGGATACATTTACTTGTTACATCAGCTCAAATAGTCAAGAAGAAGAATGTGCCAAAGGAAGAAAAAGGTGTATGAGAGGTGTTGCCTTGGTGCATAGAGCTTGGAATCCTGAGGTTCTGAGTTCACTGTGAGCTAACTCTGGTCCTCTCCTCCTTCGGTCTGAAGATTATTACTCTGGTTTTGTTTTTATTCACTGGGATAAAATTATGTCAAATCCATGTATTGCTGTTTTATGCATCTTGCCAACTCCTTGATGGGTTTATAGTCACCTGGTGACATTTTCATGTAAAGCTGTGTGTTATCTGCATAGTAACTGATCTGGTTGTTTGCTATAATCTGAACTAAAGGAAGCATGTAGATGTTGAATAGGAGAGGCCCCAGAATGGAACCTTGAGGAACCCCACATGTGATGTTTCTTGTCTCTGATTTAAAGTTCCCAACTGACACATAAAATGAAATATCCTTCAGGTAGAATTTAAAACATTCCAGTCCAGTACCAGACAGGCCAGAGCAGTTTTCCAGATGCTTATTTTTTAACCATTTTTTCTTTTTAGATTTTATTGGGGAGAGTTTTTCTCTGCAGTCATCTAGGAGTCTTCTATGTTGTTCTTTAATGATAAACAACAACTGCTCAACCAATTTAATCCATATTTTATGTAGAACCATACAATTTTAAATAGCATCAATGTTTAAATGACTAAGACTTTCATTGTCACTTTGTACACACGGAGAGTATAAAAAAACGATATTTCATTTTGTACAGCTTTCATGAAATTTCCACTTCTTAAGGTGCAGCAGTAATCAAATGTAAACAGTGTGGGAGAAAAAAAAAGACATGGTACAAAAAAAACATATTGATATGAAAGTTCAGAGCATTAAATATATATATATATGATGCAATTATGAGTTGTTTTCGTTCAGTATTGTCAGTTTGTTGCAGAGTCTGTGACATGATTTAGAGTTTTTTCAACAGTTCAGCAGTCTGATGGCGGTGGGGAAGAAGCTGTTTCGGAATCTGCTGGTCCTGCATCGGATGCTTCGAAGCCTGTTCCCAGAGGGCAGCAGGGAGAACAGTGCATGGTGGGGGCCTGAGGGGGTCATTGATAATGTTACGGGCTCACAGCACTGGGATGAAATGTCTTATATGGAAAGAAGAGGAGCCCAGATGATCTTCACTGCAGTTCTTACTCTTTTCACCTTCTTCTAGTCTGAGGCACTGCAGCCTCCACACCACACATTGAGGCCGGTCAAAATGCGCTCTATGGTTCTTCTGTAGAAGGTTGTGAGGATGGGTGGGGGCAGGTGGCTCATCCTCTGCAGGAAATACAAGCCCTTTTATGCTCTTTTGACCAGTGAGGTGAGGTTTTCTGTGATGTGCACCCCCAGGAATTTGGTGCTGCTGACCTCCTCTACAGCTGAGCTGTTGATGAGCAATGGAGCGTGGTAAGGCTGGTTCTTCCTGAAGTCAACGATAATCTCCTTCATTATCTCCACATTCAGGATAAATGTGCATAACTTTATTAGTGAGGGTCTGTCTTCAGTAATTTAGTTTCAAAATATAAATGTTGGCTCATTGTGATCATCATAGATTGACCGTGAACTGGTTTTGGTGCCTATATAATTTTTTGGCCACCCCTATGCACATTTTCTGGAACCGCCAGTGCTCAGCCATAGATTTACTATAATATTATTTCATTGCCCTACTATTATTTAATCTAAGTTAAATAATTGAAGCATATACATTTTTTAGCTGAAATGAATGAGGATTTTTTTTCTTCAATTTTAATATTTTTTTATTTGTAAACGTAAAATTTTCTATAGTCAGTTTATCAGAAATAGTGCTTAAGATGCAAAAACATTGAAATGTAAGTTATAATACAGCGATGCCGTGTTTGAAATGTTGGGTCCTCCTCTACGGAAGAGGATTAGATTCACTGAAATAAAAAAAAAAGTGCACTGATTTTTAAAATTTATTTCAGGATAATATGAGAAAAATGTCAGAATTCTGACTTAATCTCAGAATTCTGACTTAAATCTCAGAATTCTGACTTTAATCTAAAAAAATTTGTATCTTAATGTAGATGGGCACCATGAAGGAAGAGATGTGGGATCACTCAGCTTCACTGACGAAGATGAGGGTTTTTGAGAGGGCCAGTAACACATTGGTGGAAAATGATGAAAGGTGACTTTTTACATGCTATTTAATTAATGGAAGAGCAGAAGGTGATTAAAACAAGAGAGCTAGTTTAGTCCTTAAAACAGACATGGCTACGGCTTGATGCTAACATGTTTGTTAGCTGTCAGATTTCTGAGATTTAAGTGAGAATTCTGAGATTTAAGTGAGAATTCTGAGAAAAAAATTTAGAATTCTGAAAGAAAAAGTCGGAATTCCGACTTTTTTTCATATTATACTGAAATAAAATATAAAAATCATTTAACTTTTTAATTTTTCAGTGGCCCTAATCCTCTTCCGTCCTCCTCAGAGGTGGGAGTGGTCCTGTCGGTAAATGGAAGCGCGTCACCGCAGTCCACAGCAGCGCTGTAATTTCTGCGCAGGTCCATTCTTCAGTTAGAAAAAATAAATAAATAAAAAAAGATCAACAAAAGATCAGCGCTTCACCCTCCGTGCCCTCACCTCTGAGGCCAACCTCCGCCCCCTCTGTCATTTTATTTTTTACGTTTTCCAGCGTCACATCCCCCTGGCCTAGCCGGAGGAATGTAGAGTCAAAGGAGCTTTAAAAATAGCATCCTCCGCTCTAACAGCGCTGCTCCGGAGGCTCCGCAGCACTCTGCTGGGAGAGGCAGGAATGCGAAGATGGCTGCAGACCTGGGAGAGTTGCTGGTCCCCTTCATGCCCACCATCAGAGTCCCCAAAACAGGAGACAGGGTCTACAAGAGCGAGTGCGCCTTCTCCTTCGACTCCCCAGTAAGTGACACCCACACATGCAGGCTGCTCAGCGGGCAGGAGGCGCATGTTCTGGGAGGAAAGGTGCGTCCAAGACTGAGCAGCACACGGCTATTTGCTGTGATTTAACGTTTAACGTTCGTGGATCTGAAGGGACATAGATAGTGTTTACATCTCCAAGGAAGGGTGGAGGGTTTTTTCTTCTATTTGTTTTCCCTTACAGAGCAACTCCAAAAGGCCTTCATTGCCTTTTTTATTGATATTGTGTCCTAAACTTAATTTAACTTCCAGAAATATTCCAAAAGATTTTTACACTTAATGCCTAAACACAGGCTGTTAAGTGTGGTGGGCTGCTTAGTTTTATAAAACCTCTCTTTTGTAAATTATTATATATATTTTTTCAAATTGCTCTCATTTTATACTGAAGTACATGTTTGTTTACTTTTATATCTAACAGCAATTAAGTGCAGGGGCGGAGCTAGATGGGGGACCAGGGGTGGCCATGGCCAGCCTTAAGGCCTATACATACCTCACGTTTGGCCTGCACGTCCGTATTTCTGTCCGTACGTTCTATCCGTTGACTCCTTCATACCTCCGTCCGTTGAGGTGCGCAATAACCCGTATTTCCTCTTGGTGGCAGTGCTGGGCGCCAATGATTCGTCATTGATCAAAACATGGCGATGGTCCAAGACCTGATTCTGTTGCATTCTAACCTTCTTTGTGATTTTGTTGACATTTTGTACTAAAAACTCAATAGCGCCCCCACCGTTTCCGGTAGTATTGCTCCGTATTGATCCGTTTCGTCCGTAAGCGTAAGCTCCCAATTTTCGTGTCAAAGTACGGGCGAAATCGACGGTTAGAACGTATGAAACACTCCACACGTATCCGTATCCGTCTTTTACGTGAGGTATGAATGGGCCTTTAGCCAATCATTGGCCACCCCTACCACTTTCCCCCCTATTATTCAAGTGGAATATTCAAAACATTAAAATTTTTCATATATTACTTCCTATTTTTTTTTTTTTCATATATTCATAATTATTTGATAGCAAAAACACTGTGGTTAATTATGTACATCAATATAATAACATTAAAGATGATAAGTACAGAATTCCTGCTCTTTTCAGAACTAGATTTTTGTGTTTTATGGGTTAAAGAGAAAATGATGTGTCTGCATTCATCTAGGAGTCTTTAGTGGAATCATAGCTATAACTATTAATAACAATTCTAATAAAAATGGCTTAAATAATCAATTTATGTAGATATTAGTACTTGTAAATATCAATTTTGATAAAAGTTGGTAAGTAATGACAAAGGAGAAGATGTCCGCCCCAGAACTCGAACCTGAAAGAATTGCATCCACTATACCACTTATCTAGAAAGCATGGATGTTTAAATATATGCATTTATTTTTTTAGCAAAGGCTGTAAGAAAGTATATTTTGTCTTTATTTAGAAAATATGGATGTTTTGATCATTAATTTTCCTGTTGGAAGAGTGTAGATTGACCCTGAGATTCTGGTGCCTATCCATTACAAAAATGTTCTGGCTACGCCTCTGATTATGTGGGGTCAACATGTTAATTTTACATCATGTTAATTTTTACTTTTTGCAATATTATTCTTATTGGACACATACTCAAAACAATTAACGTTCTGTAAGCCAGCTTTTAAATAAGCAACAATTTTGAACTAATGAAAAAGTTTCATGCTGTTTTTGTTTAACGTGGATGAAGGGTCTCCTGTGCTCAAAACTTTCCTTCCAATCCTATGTGGACTGAAAACCGTTTTTAAAGGTGACTCAGCTGTCTGGAGTTCATCATGCTGGCCGGAGGACTGGTTTATTTTTATCCTTGTGCTGTTGAAGCTCAAATGTCACTCTGAACTACTTAAAGGTTTAACACTGGGGTTTATGCAGCGTATACTGATTGCAGATTTGAGGTTTCTTTTTGGATAAACATTTTTTTAATGTGTTTTTGTCTCTGGTGCTTAGTATGTGAGGTGCAAGAGGATGTTTTTTTGTTGCTTTTTTAAAAAAGTGTTTAAAACTAAACCACATTTTGTTTGTCATTAATTTATACCAATCAGTCAAAAAATAATAATAGTGACATCATGTTTGAACATCTTATTTTAGTAAAGCAGATCATGCATTACCTCAAAGCATTAAAGCTTTATGTGTGGCAAGAATTAAAATATTCAAACAGAGCAGAAAAATCTTTTTGTTTTATGTTTTTTGAACAAAGTTGGGGAGTGTTGGCCTAGTGGTTAGAGCAGTGCATTTGTGCTCTGAGAAGGTTGCAAGTACCTGGTTTAATCCCCACAGGCTACATTCTGGGCCTCTAAGGAAAACCCTTAACCCCACACTGCTCCCCGGACACCACACAGTGGCAGCCCACTGCCCTCCAAGGGGATGGGTTAAATGCAGAAAGGTCTGGAAGATAAATAGTTTGTTTGCTTTTCAACTAACAAAGAAAAAAAAAATATTATCAGGGTAACCCTTTATGTTGATAAATATTAAAACAACAAGGTGTAGCTAAAGATCATGCATAAGTTGTCATCTTGTTCTATTTTTTTTCTTCTGTGCAGCTAATGTCACCGTTTCCTTTTGTCTGCAGGAGTCCGACGGAGGCCTGTATGTGTGTATGAACACATTCCTGGGCTTCGGACGGGAACATGTGGAGAGACATTATCGCAAAACAGGACAGAGTGTTTACATGCACCTCAAACGACACGTTAAAGAGGTATGTTCTGTCCCCTCCCACAGAGGTTTTAGAAACATGCTTTTATTTTATTTTTTTATTTTTTTTTTTTTATTTTTTTACAGTGTCCTGTCTGGCAATGTGGCAATAAGAATAATTGTCTTGATGCCAAAAAGAGCCCAACAGATTTTACTTTCACAAGTGTAGCAGTATGGCAATTGCCATACTGCTACACTTGTTTAATGCATATAAATTGCTTTATTATAATTATGCAGGGAGTTTTACAGTTTATATGGACACTGCAATGTAAATAGAGCAGAAAAACAGAAGAAGAAAAGGAAAAAAGAAAAAAAAGAGAAAAGATGAAAGAAAGAAGAGATAGAAAGGAGAATAATGACACAAAAAAAAGAAACATCCTTTTATTTGTAAATAAAAAAAAAAACCAAAACAACTATGAGTAGTAAGAACAATAAGGAATTCAATTCCGTTAATAAAAGACGATTGAATAATAAAGACACAATAGAAAAGTCAAATGCAACCACAGTACAAACAATAATGTGTAAATTTGGTCTCTATTTTAAATTTTTTGTATTAAAAGATTTCATTTATGTTATTTCAAGTTGAGAGAAAATTAGATAGTCAAAAGTAACAAGATATATTGCAACTGATTATCTTTATTTCCAAAGACAAACGGTAAAACAATAGCATCTTGTACAGAAAATTCCTGAAGACAAAGAAAACTTGGGACAAGAAAAAAAATACTTTTTTTTCATGTTTTAACAAGTATGGAAAATTCTTTATTATTATTATATTATTAGGCTTTGTACTATTAAATTAATAAAATTTTTCTTAAAAACAAATTGCAGATGTTAACAACAATGATGTCTGTTGATATAGGAAAAAAACAAAATTTTATGGTTTTGGAGTAAAAAACAAAACTTCAAACAAATAATATTGAAATTAAAATACTTTTTAGCCACTACGTTTTTATCTGTTTTAATTGGTAGCTTGGTCACTTGGATGACATATTGCCTAAATAAAGATAAAATATTTTAAAAAAAAGTTGCTATTTTACATGAAACAAACAAAAAAAATGCTTAGTTATAATGTCTTGGTTTCAAATATCCATAACCTGATATCATTCGTATGAGTTAATTTGTAGTGGAGGGCCACTTTCCAAACCGTTGTCAGATTTATAATTTTATTACAAAAAATGAGCTACACATCTCATAATTAATAAAATGAATGAATTATCAGAGGCTGTATAAATTTTAAAACAGAAATGTTTGACTGCTCTTGCAGCTCAGCAGTGGAAAAATGCTACTGTAGAAATGAAAAGATGCTGTTGACTAGTAATTTTAAAGAAGAAAATGATGTCACATTATATCTTATGACTAAATGATTATGTACTTTCAGATGAAGGTAAGTAAATATAATTTTTGTCCCTGTTGTGCTTTCGTTGCTCATAGTAAACTTATAGTAAGTTGCTGAACCCTTTCATTTTAGAGGTAGCTATATAAGCATCCTGCTTCTGTTTATGTTTAATGAAGCATCAAATGTTGTGTGGTTGAAAGAAAATAAATTGAACTAAATCATTATTCCTGATTCGATTTCCAACATGATAAAAAGGAAAATTCCAACCAAAGGGTTTATCTAAACCAGAAATAAATTTTGGCCCTATCCAGCCATACATACAACCATTAATATTACATCACCTTTGGAAAAACTGCTTATCATCAATCTTCAAAAACTTGAAAGGAAATTTACCATTAATGAAGAACAATGATTGTTATTTAACAATTTAAATTCCTGAAAAATACAACTTTTGAAAGAAGAGGATGAATACCTAACTATAAGAAAGTAAGAACTAAAATAATGGATTACAGGTGCTTTTGGTGACATTATGTTCTAGAAATGAAATATAATTATTCAATAAAAACTCGAAAAACAACTAAAATAATATTCATCACTCACTCTGCTTTTATTAGTAAATAGGTTTTAAGTAATAAAAAGGATTTTTTAAATTGTGCAAAACAGTTTTTGTTTAAAGAACAAATCAACAGAGCATGTAAGACCTTTTGATGGACAGTGATCTGCATCTTTTTATATCTTTTAGGTTTGTAGAGATTTTAAAATAGATGGAACCTTTTTTTCTGATATCCATTTTTCCGTGTAAAATTGGCAGTTAAATTGTTCTTAAGTAATAAGGATCACACATGGACTCAAACAAGTCCTTAATTTTTTTAGCTGATGGCGTTTTTCCTCTCTGCATCTAATTGCTATCAGATCAGCTCTGCTTTGCAAAGAGAGGCTATTTCCATGCCTGGATCTGGCCACAAACAGCTGCTGCACATTCTGCAGGCTCCTGTGTCTGCGCTGTTTTTCTTTTGTGGGAGTCCTCTTGGTCCTGTTTGTGTAAACATTCTTACTTTCTCAACTTTGTCTGGTCAGATCAATGTGAAGTTAGCTGAGTTGGGTGCACAGGCTGCTTGGTGGCACTGTGTGGATTTTGCTGACTAGGAGCTACCAGATTAATGATTTCTGGAAAATATGGCATTTTGCTTTCTGTTTTTACCTGATCCTGATAGATGTTTTTTTTAAGGCTGGGACATTAACGCGTTAATTTCGATTAATTAATCATACAAATATTAACGCGTTAAAAAAATTAACGCATTTTAATCGCACACCAAAGTCTCCTGGAAGTCGTTTGGGATTTCACCCAAGTAATTATTTCACCTGTGGGGGCAGCATTAGAACTATGGCCAGAATACCGTCGGACAGAAACTGAAGAAGAAGAACAGAGAAGAAAGTTGCTTTTAACTAGAAGGAGAGACAACCATGGAAGAATTAGACGAAGCAGATGAAAACATTTTAGTTGGTCCTTTGCAGGGGAAATTTTGTTTTAAAATACAGGAGGGAAGAGTCGATAAGAGCGCGGTCATATGTAAATTATGCAACAAGGAATTCGCCCATCACCGCAGCGTATCAAGCCTCAAATATCACCTGAAGCAAAGCATGTAGCAGCTAGCTTGGCAGATACTAGCGTGGAAGCTAGCCCGACTGGGAGGAAGAAGAAACAACCCACACTACACCAGCTGACTGGCTTCAAGGGCAGGGTAAGCAAGACCAAGGCCGAGAAAATGACCAACGCGCTGGCTTACTGGGCGGCTCTCGACTGCAGACCCATTGCTGTGGTAGAAGATAAGGGGCTGTCTCAGCGTGAGGATGCCCTAAATCACAGATTTCTACAAGTGGCTACAGCACTCGACCCTCGCTTTAAGGTGTGTAATGGTCTTCTTTATTTTTCTCTTTTATTGCTTATGACTCTTTTATTTCCTCGGCCCCCTCCCCTCCCCTCTCTTATGGAATAACAACATCAACATGACTTGTATAGCACATTATCATACATAATTGTCATTCAGTGTGCTAAAGAGTAAAAAAAAATGAAAACAGAAAAAAATAATTCATGTTGTTTTATGGATTGAAGATAATTAACCAACTATTACCAAAGGCAGATGAGAATAATGCTATTTTTAATTTCTTTTTAAAACAAGATGCTGTTGGAGCAGTTCTAATATGGACAGTTTAGACTTGACCATAGGCACAACCAGTAGAGGAGATTCTGGATGATGGAAACCATGTATACTAATGAATTTCATCCAGCTTGTACTCTGTAAATCTCTGATTAATGTGACCACAAACCTGATTCTGATTCTTATTCTGATCTTAAGGACCTAAAGTGTCTACCAAGAGGAGAGCGAGGAGAGGTGTGGACCAGCATTGAGGCACTGGTGCAACAACAACCAGGCAGAGCCACACCGGAACGCACAGAGGAGCCAGCAAGGAAGAGGAGCCTCCTGCTGTATAATTCCGACTCTGAATCAGAGGATGAAGATGGGCCCAAAGGAGCCTTGGCCCGCTACAAGGCAGAGCCTACCATCAGTGAGAGAGACTGCCCACTGCAGTGGTGGTCCACTCATGAGAGAGCCCATCCACAGCTCTCTGTCCTGGCCCGCAAGTATCTAGGCAGCCCTGCCACTTCGGTACCCTGCGAAAGATTATTCTCCCTGGCAGGTAACATAGTTCAAAAGAAGAGGGCAGCCCTGAGCTCTGAAAATGTGAACAGGCTAGTATGTCTCAGCAACTGGCTGAAAGAGAGGAAGTAATCAGTTAATGTGTATCCTGAGGCCAGTTGGCCAGTTGTGTTTCAAATGGGAAAAATTGGAGGTCAATCACTGTCACTTTATGTTGAACTGAACTATCTGAATGGCCAATGTTATAAAGAGTTGGACTGAATTTCATTTAATTTCTGACTTATTTTTTGTAAACAGTTGAACTGTTGATAAATCCACGAATTGTGTTAAAGCCTCAGAGGCTTTTTGTTCTGAATGTACTTGAGTATTGCATTTTTGCGTTTAAAAAGCAGTATTAAGCTCTACCTATACCTATAGAGCTACCTGAATTTCTGAGTTTAGCGTTCCTAAATATGTTGAATTTTAAAATTTGCACTGGCCTGTTGATATTTCTTTAAAAAAAATAAACAATATTTTGTCTATTAAGCTTATGTGTTGTCATTCAAAATCCATGTGGAAAAAGTTACTTCCTGCAGTTTCCAAGTATGCGATTAAAATGCGATTAATTCGATTAATTAATTTCACAGCCATGCGATTAATCGCGATTAAAAAATTTAATCGCGTCCCACCCCTAGTTTTTTTTTAAAATGACTTGTTTTTGCTGTGATGCTAGAGATTACAAAAAACGATGAAGAGCAGAAAACTATAAAGATGCACAATGTTTGACAGTCTGGGGTTTCTCCCATGCCTTTTCTGACCTGAACACCAAACATCCAGTCTGCAGACAGAAAGGATGTGGATTAACTGGTCTACTGGTGTCATCAGAGCTACCTCAAGCTTAACTTGCTCGAGAAAGTGGAGATGATGGTGGATTTCTGGAAAACATCCCCCAACCCTACCTTTGTTATTTGGAGGAAGTGAGATTTGACATGCCACAAAATTAGCCAGCGAGGCTGGGATTTAAACCTGTGATGGTCACGTCGAGGACCAAAGCCTCCATACTAGGCTCGCCAACTTAACCCCTGCACCGCCGCCATGTCAAAAGTTTTCCTTTTCAGAAAAGACGTTTTTGCCTAACATCCATAGTTATTTGCTTGGTCCTAACCTTTTTTAACTGAGTCTGTGAAATTCAGGCTGTATAATGGGTAAGTCAGTCTGGCTGGCCAGCCTAGTCCAAACGATATGATGGTATACAAAGGGAATCATCAGGGCGGACCTTCCACCATCCATGACCTGTACAGGTCAGTAGGTAAAATAAAAAGGCAGCTAACATCTTTCCTGAACACAAGCTGCATAGACTTTTACCTTCAGGTCAGAGCTACAGATTCACGAAACTTCTCAATCTGGAGAAACACTAAAAACACTATGTTTACATTTTATCACTACTGCACTTTAGAAATGTCATGAGAGGTGTACTGAACGAAATTTCATTTTGTATACACTCTGTGTGTACAAAATGACAATAAAGTTTGTCTAAGTCTAAGTAACTCGGAGTACCAGGTGTTCCTCGTGTTTTGTGTTCCTTCAGACTGAGGCGTTTTATGAATCCTGACATATTTATAAATGTTTGCTATTTGTATGTCTGTGTATAAAAAAATATCCAATTTTATAATTGTTACTACTTGTTTCTTGCAGAAAGCCACAGGAGCAGCAGGAGGTGCCATCCCCAGACGAAGAAATGGAAAAGTGTTTCTAGGTGGGTTAGCTACCATATAGAGAAGCATGTAAATACTGCTATATTGCAGTGTGAAAGTCTGACCAAAAGAAAAAAAAAACAACAAGATTTTAAAGTTGCCTAAGTAATTATGCAGAATAATAGCTTGCATATTGTTATGGATTAATAATACTTGAAAAGGAATCAGCCTTTTCTGCTTGGATTGTCAGCACCCTCTGGAGTGTGACAAAGAATATCCCTGACCTTAATATAGAGCTGAATACTTGAGCTTAAATAATAAAGAATTACATTAAGATGTTTAATTTTTTTAAATTTGAATGTGAATCATATGTACAAGAAGGAACATGAGAAAAGAAAACTGCTTTTTTTTTACAATTATGACACACCTTTCTTCCCTTAAATGTGAATTCTTGGTATTTTTCCTAAAATGAAAAATTTTTTGCACAACCTGCTAGAATGCAAGACTTTTTGATGTAAACCATGATCAATGATTTTAAGATGTTTATTCTCTGCTTAATATGAGAACATGATTTAAATGAAATGCAAATCTGTTAGAGGGATGGTAGTAAACATGCATAAGGTGCAACAACCTTGCTTTTATATCGCAAACCCTTAAAATCACCCCTCAGTCTTCATGCAGTTGTACACATTGTTGTGCAAAATGACTCAAACCCTCTCAGATTGTGACGTTTATTGTCCACATCCCTGTTAAGATGACCCTATGAGTGTCAGGTGTATCTCTGAACTCTGCTTTGGCCATTTTTAAGCTTTAATTTTCTGCCATAGAGGCAGTTTTATTCAGAATTTATCATATAAGTGAACTCTAGGCTGCTGTGGAAGGAATATCTTTTCATCCTCAGCTTTTAGCAGACTGCTGAAGTTTTTGGCTCAAAACTGACATTTGGAGCCCTTTATATATCATAAAAGCAGATGCAGATGTACTGCAAAATCATAACTCCACACCATAATATTGCCAACACCATGCCTCTATATGTTTATAGTGTTTTTTTTTTTTTTTTTTTTGGATCTATCTATAGGAACCATAACAAAACCCCCCAAAAGGCTTTGGAAGATTGTAACGAGGTCTGCACAATTTATTACAAAGCCAGCAAATCTATCCAAGCTGGGGCACTTATGTGCAGATATATGAAGTTGTTGACAAACGTAAAACTCAATCAGTACTTGCCAGTTACTAGTTGGCGATTTCTGGTTCCACATCTACAAAGTTTCTGTCAATTCTATCTGGTAGGGGACAAGAAACATCCCTAAGAACTACTTAAAAAAAGTCGAACCCAGATTGTTTTGAGGAGTAAAATGAAGTTTTTCCTACAGAAAGTAATTCATAGTAGCAGGGTGTCTTTAGTTGTCAGTCTTCTCATTGATCCTGTGATTTAACATCAGTATCGCTCTGTTTGAAAGTCGACCCATTACAGCTCTGTCACTGTTTTTGTTTGCTGTCGGCCAGCTGCCGTCCTAATCAGCCTCAACCCAAAGCGTTGGATATTTCCACTGACGAAGACTCTCCACCAACTTCTGTCCTCTAATAATAGCCCACTTATTTGTATATGTGGTTGGTAACTGTTCTAAATCAAAGCTTGGCCTACCCACTTCTCCTCCTCCTTGGGGTTGTGGTGGGGGTGGGTTACCCTGGGTGCCTCCTCCCATCCCAGCCACCAGCCTCTCAGCTGCCACCAGCTGTCAGTGTCCTATCGAGGCTTCAGAATGAACTGATGACGCAGCTTGCCAAGGCCCAGGTGTCTTGCCCCCCAGCTTCTATGTTTGAGGCATTCCTTCATCTCATTCTCTGCTCCATTCATCTTAATCTGCTTTCACTCCCAGTTTATCCACCACACGTTTCCTCTCATATCTGATAAATATCCAACTGAATAATCCGTTCTTTGGGATGTTTCTTACTGTCCCTTTAAGATCTTTGATCTTATTCGTCATCTCCATAGTGGTGATGTGATCTAATCTGACAGCTGGTTGCAAACCCACGTGTCTCCATCTAACCATTTTGAATAACAATGATTTTTATATTAAAACTGTTAAAATCTGGGATGAGTTTCTTTGTTTTGATGAATTAAATAATTTACATAATAACCCTAGATTATTATTTTTTATAAAATAAAGAAATAATGCTTTTGTCGTCAAAGTTAATAATGTATCTTACATTTTCCCTTTGTAATCAAACAACTGTAGTAATTTCTTTTTGTAAAATTGTATTTATCTTCATATATAATCATATTTGTACATTGAAATAAACTAAATAAAAATGAAAATATTTATTTATTTTTCTTTTGAATCTTTTAGTCATTATGTCATCAGTCATTCATGCTTGCTCCCCTAAAGATTTAGAGCTAAACCGGGATTTTAATGGCGAGGACTATGAGTATGAGGATGAGGCGAAGCTCGTCATTTTCCCAGACCACTTCGAGATCCCTTTACCAAATATTGAGGAGCTGCCAGCTCTGGTCAGTGAGTTGATTCTGTGTGTTTCTGTGCATGCTGCAAGGGAAAGGTGCACTTGGTGGTTCCCTGGCTCTATTGGAGGCACATCTCTACATTTTATAAAAAAAGGGATTTATAAAAGTGTTTTTTCCTGCAAAAATATCAGTGTTTTACCTGCAGCTTTTTAAAGGGTTGGCTGGAAAAGAGTTTTTCTTTTCATTTTAAGCTATGAATACAGAATAAAATGATTAGAAACAGACATTTCCTTTAATAAATCAAGAATATTTGACCATCACCCTGCTAGAATAAGATGCTTGTCTTAATGTAGACATGCACATCTAAGTGCAATACACTGAGCCACATATTTGAGAGGTCTAGATAAATTACAGAACATGATTTAAGTACTTAAATGACTAGATTGTCACTTTTGAGAAAGGCCTGGAATAGAAATAGCTTTTATTGTTTTGATTAAAAAAAATCTTATCACAAACAGGACGTAACGTGACCAAACGTTTGAATTGAATGCAATGTCAGTTATGCAATAATATACCCTAAAGTGCTTAAAAGTTAAATCCCCCATAAATAGATATTTTAGATGCCAAACTTTTTGTTTGTTTTTAGGGCCTTTATTTTATCGATCAGATTTCACTCCTTATTTAATTCCTCCTAATGAGAGGGAGATGTATGCTGCAGAAAAGACAGAATACCTTTGAAGTTCTGAGTTTTGAGAGACTAAAATCTATCTAAACACGGTTTTAGTATTTTCCTTTAAGTTAAACACAATTCTGGGGAACCACAAGGTGCACATGGTGGTGTTTTAAGAAAAATCTTTTTAAAGATATGTCTTTTCTTTGCTGCTTTTTTCTTGCATGGAGCTCAGAATTGACTCATCTTAACTTTTAAGAGATTTTCTTTGGCATGTCTGTTTGCTGGAATGTTTTTGACACCTGATATAAGGTTTACAGATTTATTCTCACTCTGCTTGATCGAGTGGTGATGCTTTACTTGTCAGTTTTGTCTGTGGATGGATAAACTTGAAATGGCTTCAGTATGATTAGGGATTAAAAACTTGCAGATTTTTATTCAGTTGGAAGAGGTGTCCATTTGTGACAAATTTTTATTTGCATCACAATGATACTCTTCCTGGCATAGGCCTTGCATGGCTAAATTTTCAGTTTGTATTCACTATTTTATGTGAAATTGTAGTTTACTTAAACTTTCTAAACTCACCTGTGGGTGTCGTCCCATTAATGCTCTACTGTGTTGTCTGATGTCCAGGTGACTATTGCCTGTGATGCAGTACTAAATGCACCTTCAGCTTACAAGAAACAGGAGCCTGAGTCTTGGGAAGAGGAGATCCAGGTTTCTAGACATGCCAGAAGCCTCAGACAGCTGGATAACGGGGTCCGGATTCCACCTAGGTAGATCTAACACATTAAAACTGTGTAGAAATCATTAAATATTGTTACTATTTAAACAAATGTGTGTGTTTGTATTACCATAAAACACAGAAATTGTTTTAGGTAAGCTAGAAATTAAACATCTGACCTCCTGATAAGAGGATGAGCGCTGTTCTTACTGAGTCATGGTTCTCTAGTGCTACATCAGAAAATACAGTCAGTCAGAGTTTGTTGCACTGCTGAAAACTGTTATTGAAAAATCTTGAGCTGTCAGAACTAAAAATATGTCTTCCCTGTTTAAAAGTGGATAAAAGTTAAAATGATGATGTATTACCTTTTTCCTTAATGTGTTTGCCAATGTCTGTCGTCAAAGTGGTCGTAAAGCAATTCTTGTGGTCACTTAACTTATATACATATATTAGACATGAATACAACTTGGATGCAAAGGTTAATATTGCACAGATGTTGGAGAACTCCATAACCTATTTAAAATCATGTAGATTTTTGAGCTGTCTGGATTTGGAGAAAACTTCAATGCAATCTATTTTTACATAAAATTTTCTCTTGACACCTGGTATCAGATTTTGTGGTGATGTTGAGAAAAACATTGTGTTGTACTTAGGATAAAATAAATTAAATTTCATGAAATATGATTTAACTTCCATTGGTTTTATTTCTGCTTTAATGGTTCATTAACTACTAGTTTATGTTGTGTCAGTTTGGCATTGTGGAAGAGCTTTTAGTCACTCTATGTAAATGAAACAAGTCTTGTGTTACTCTCTCTGAGAGTCCTGTAATATCCACCCTAGCTGAAGTGTAGCTGAAGCTTTGAAGATGCATGACTTCACGTCACCTAAGATGAACAGCTGTCAAAGCTGCCATCTGAGTTGAGATGATCAATGAAAGGTATTCATTAATTTTCTGCATCTGTGCTTCTGCTGTCAGTGGCTGGAAGTGTCAGAAATGCGAGATGAGAGAAAACCTGTGGCTGAACCTCACTGACGGATCGGTTCTTTGTGGGAAATGGTTCTTCGATGGGAGCGGGGGAAACGGACATGCTCTAGAGCACTACAGGGAGACCAACCACCCCCTGGCTGTTAAACTGGACACCATCACTCCAGATGGAGCAGGTCTGAGAAACCCAACATGCCGTTGTACCAATTGATCAGTCTGCAGTGGGATTTTTGCTTTTGCAGTTTGCTATGAACACCAAAAACAACTTTTTTTGAACATTCAGGGCTTTCAGAATCAAAACATCATTTGGATTTTCATTATTTACATTACTTTATAAAGCTGCAAAAATTTTTAGAAAATGAGAGTGATATGAGTCTTTACCGAAATACCCCTAGTAAATTCAGAATATATTAATTTTAAAGGTCCACTCTTTTATTAATTTATTGCAGACTTTTTTTTATTGTTTATCAGAAATATGTCATTAGTCAAGAAAAAATATTAGGGCTGGATAAATATCTTCATTGTTGGATTCTATTTTATCCTTTATTCCCTAATCCTACCTTTGTAAGGGGTGGATCGGAGAGGCTGTTGCTGTAAAGTAGGGTTAGCACCTAGCAAAATGGCCTTGAATGACTTCAAAGGACAGAACTTTATTTACTAAACAAACTAAGTCAATAGTTAGATTTAAAAAACAAGCATAAAGTAAAAACTATGATCAGCCTCCCCCCTGTGTATGTCCGCAACAAATATAATAGCTAAATAATGTCACAACTAAGCAGCTGCATATAAAAACCCTTTTAAGAGATAAATATGTTTTTTGATGGTATAGTAACCACTGCAATATTTAACCTGGAGTCTTCCAGTATGTTTTATATCAGGTTAATTATCACATTGTATCATGATGACAGTAACCTCTAATTGTTTGTCTAAATCTAAAAAAAAGGTCTGCAGCATGTTTGGGATTCTTAATTTCTTCCCATTGCCATGTGAACATTGATATATTCATTAGTATGATTAAAATTTATTGATTAATGTTTAGTGGTAAAAACTGTACAGTAAAAAATAATGCCTCTAATGGTTTGCTCACTTTTTTATTATAGATGTTTATTCGTTTGAGGAGGAAGAGGCTGTATTGGACCCCCACATATCAGAGCACTTGTCACATTTTGGAATAGACATGCTCCAGATGCAGCGGAGAGTAAGTTGATTCATTTTACTAGTTTACTCTATATCATCACTGTTTAACCCAAAACATTCTTTAAAAATACTGTCTTTAAAGAGAATGTGTCAAAAATATGCACTGCTCAAAAAAATAAAGTGAGCACAAACAATACCATATAACTTCAATCAAATCAAACTTCTGTGAAATAAAACTGTCTGAAGTAACACTTAGGCTACGTTCACACTGCAGCCTGAAGTGACCCAAATCCCATTTTTTTGCCAATATGTGACCTGGATCAGATCTTTTCATGGCAGTCTGAACAACACAGATCCGATTTTTTCCAATCCGACCCAGGCCACTTGGCTATGTTGTCCTGAATCGTGTCTGAACGGCCAGGTTAGATTCATCCGACCTGAACATCATTAATACCTGACAAAGGCATAAGGTATTATGGCCCTGACGTCCATAGATGGGGGTTGTGCTCACAACCTAACACCGTGCAGGATGCTTGGCATTTGCCAGAGACCACCAGAATTGGCAAATTCACTAGTTGTGCCCTGTGCTCTTCACAGATGAAAACAGGTTCATACTGAGCACAGACATCACAGTGTGGAGACACCGCAGAGAGTGATCTGTTGCCTGCAACATGCTTCAGCATGACTGGTTTGGCAATATGTCAGTAATGGTGGGGGGTGGCATTTCTTCGGAGGGCCACACAGCCCTCCATGAGATCACCAGACCCCTTGTGAGACCAAATGCTGGTGCTTCCTCCTAATGCAGGATGATGCTAGACTTCACATGGCTGGTCTGTGTCAGCAGTTCCTCCAAGATGAAGGCATTGAAGCTATGGACTGGCCCACCTGTTCCCAAGACCTACGATTGAACACATTTGGGACATCCTGTCTCGATCCATCCGCCAAAGTCACGTTGCACCACAGGAGTTGGCAGATGCTTTAGTCCAGGTCTGGGAGGAGATCCCTCATTAGGAGCATGCCCAGGTGTTGTAGGGAGGTCATACTGGCACATGGAGCCATAGAAAATACTGAGCCCTATTTTGACCTGTTTTAAGGACATTACACCAAAGTTGGATCAGCCCGTAGAGTGTTTTTCTATTTTGTTTGATTTTGTTGTAAGCAAATTCAACTTAACATAGAACAAAGTATTCACTGAGAATATTTCATTCATCAGATCTAGGATGCTTTATTTGAGTGTTCCCTTTATTTATTTTTTTAGCAGTGCCTTGGTTTATTAGGGCTATGGTAGATGTTTTGTCTGTATTTAAACTTTACTAAGAAACTAAAACTGCCTTCCCCATCCCTGTCGCCTCCTGTTTCAGACAGAGAATGGACACCACACAGACAATAACCCGCGACCGCGAGTCAGTGAGTGGGAAGTGATCCAGGAGTCTGGTATGAAGCTGAAGGCAGTGTATGGTTCTGGTTACACTGGCATCAAAAACCTGGGAAACAGCTGCTACCTCAGCACAGTACTACAGGTTCTTTACAGCATCCCAGATTTCCAGAGGATGTGAGTACCACATGCCATGATGCATTCACGTCATGTTTTTTTTTTTTTTAAATACACTTTTTAAATATTTTTATTGGTTTTAACGATGCTATTTTTTTTGTTTCAGTTTTTCTGTTAAAAAAATATATTTTATTTTATCTTAGGCCAAATATTTGATTTTATTATATTTATGATCTTCTAATAAATAGATAATTATATGCAGCAGTGCTCAACCAGAAAGTTTTAGAATAGATTTACCGTATTATCCGCACTATAAGGTGCACGGATTATAAGCACACCTTCAATGAATTGCCTTTTTTAACATTCTTTCACATATAAGGCGCAACGCACTATAAGGCGCATAAAATAGAAGCTACAGTAGTGGCTGGGGTACCGTTATGCATCCACTAGATGCAACTGAGCTAAAGAGAATGTCAGTAAAACAGTCAGATAAGTAAGCGAACTTTATTTATACATTATGGTATTAACGATATGACCAACAAACGCTGTCTCCCCATGGATTCGGTGGCTGCTCCCTGTAGTTGCGAGATCTGTTGAAGCTTAATATTCATCCATACATGGGGTGCTCAAGATTATAAGGCATATTGTCGGTTTTTGAGAAAATTGAAAGCTTTTAGGAGCGCCTTATAGTGTGGAAAATAAGGTATTTTTATTGAATTACAAAACCTATTTTTGATTATTAAGGGAGTAGGGATCTTTGAAAAGTTATAGCTCAATTGATAATGTGTAGCACTCAGGTTTATTTCTACACCGTTTCAGTCCATTTGGGGAAAGGAGGGACATTCAGTAGCACCTTTCAAGCTGATTGGGCAATGCAACACCTGGTGCCTGCCTTCCAAAATTTTGTGAAAAATCCCGTTAAAAAATGAAATAGCATTCTAGGTCACATTACTCAATAAATTCTGCTTTTGCACTCTTTGCTGTTTACTTTTAAAGATAACATCATTGATTCTAATAACAGATGTCATAGCAGTAGCTACACTACATCTTTCCCCGTTTTTTTTTTTTTGTTCAGCTGTGGGTCTGGCAGCTCTCTCTTTAGCCACAGGTATATTTTCTGCTTAAAGCCATAATACTGTAATGTAACTGGCTGACCTGCTTTGGGTCAGTCTAGAATCGTTTATGTACAAGATAGATTCTTCTGTGTTTGTGCAATCCAGTGCTGCAAGAATTCAGCTTGCAGACAAGGTTATATAAAAACAGTATCCATCCATCCATCCATCCATCCATCCATCCATCCATCCATCCATCCATCCATCCATCCATCCATCCATCCATCCATCCATCCATCCATCCATCCATCCATCCATCCATCCATCCATCCATCCATCCATCCATCCATCCATCCATCCATCCATCCATCCATCCATCCATCCATCCATCCATCGTCACTTTTATCTCTGCTGGGGGCATGAGTGGTGCTAGTGCCAATCTCCAGCTCTCAATGGGCGAGAGGTGGGGTACACCCTGGACAGATTGCCAGTCTTTTACCGGGAAACACAGAAACGAAGAACCATGCACGCACACATTCACACCTACAGAGAATTTAGAGAAGCCAATTAACCTAACCGTCATGTTTTTGGACTGTGGGAGGAAGCATCCAGAGAGAACCCACTCATGCACAGCGAGAACATGCAAAACATCATGCAGCAAAGACCCTGGGCCGGGACTTAATCCTTCTTGCTGCAGTGCTACCCGCTGTGCAGCCCAAAAGCAGTATTTATAAAAACAATTACTAAATCTAAATTTATAATTTTGTTTTGTTATTTTAAATATGGCCCGGACTATTGCACATTCGTTTAAATTACTTAATCATAGAGATTTTAATGCATAAAAAAAAAATTAAACACAATTAATCAAATTTTTTAATACAAACTTAAGTTCCAAGTGGGAACCTTTGCATTTTGCTGTTCCCTTTACACCAGTAAAACTAACACACATATAGCATCAAAAGTGTTGGTCCAGTGGGGATAAAGCCATCTTAGTGTTACGCTATAACTATGGTTCTAGGAATCCCTGGGTGAATTCCAGTCACTCTGAACTTCTCAGTGAGGGGATCCCAGGAGGCTGACTGTAGCTGAGGTAGAGCGTCGAGCCGCTGGTTTTTAGACAGAAAACTATTAATCAATCTGACTGTATGGCCTGATTGAACTGTCTCTGTAAAGTGCCTTGAGGTGACATGTTTGAATTGGTGCTATATAAATAAATTGAATTGAACTGCATAGAATTATTCCCCAGGTTAAAATATAGACAAAACACTAGGGTGCTACGTCAAGTACTTTACTTTGTTTACATTATAAGCTTGACCCACGTGAAGCGGAGAGTTATAGCCACATTGTTTACTGTCACTGGCAGTTAGTCATGAAAAAAGACTCATATCGGCATCCACATTTGCAGCTTTCCACTTCAGAACAGATGATGAGCTCTAGCGCCAACTTCAGCAAGTCCACTGTCTGAAAACGTAACAACTTCTTGGTAAAGTGGATTGCAAGAGGGATTGTTTGTCTTAAGTAACTGGCTCAAGAAGAAAAATTAATTTTACTGGTGTATGTTTTAGATGTAATAAATGTCGATTGTTTTTGCCATTATGTATCTTTTAAGAGAGCCTTGCCATTTTTAGTTTCGTCCACAGATTTTACATCAAATTCAAGTTTAGACTCTGCAGCGTACCTATAAAACATATATTGCTTATTATAATTAGAAATGTCCAGATGCAACTTTTTTATTTCCGCCATATTATGATATTTTAGCTCTGAGTATTGACAGATACTGATACTGATCCGACATATTAGCCCAATTATTACCTTATTTTGAATTGTAGTATATTATAAACATTTTGATTGACTAATAGTATTTAAACAGAAAATAAAAGTTCACAATGGTTATGAGAACAACTAACTGATTTATTGTCAACCAGTGGTTTAACAAAATGACTCAATGTGGACAATACAATAATTATGTTGTAATGGACTAAATGATAGAGCAAAATACCACAGCAGAGTGTTTTATTAGTGTTTTTTATTTCAGGTTGATAATTGACCGATTTCCAGATCAGGACATTCCTAGTTATGATTATAGATAATTGATGATCAGATAAATGTTAGACGAGAATTCCTTTAAACGTTTCTCTTGGTGTTTCATCTTTGTTTTTCTATCTGCTTAGGACCATATGTTTTCTTTCTTAGGTATGTAGGTAACCTTCAGAGGATATTCGACTATTCACCCCTTGATCCCACTCAGGATTTTGCCACACAGATGTAAGTGACTCCTAAAAGTTATGTAATATGTTGACAGAAGGGAAGGTGTTTTCCAGTCCCCCCCTCTGTTATTGAAACCCCAAAACAGATCTGATCACAACTATAAATTGCATTATAACATTTGTATTTAAATCAAAATAATTTATTAACAAAGTATCTGTAGTTGAGGTAGTGATCTTTAGGTTTTTCTTTTAGTTTTGTAGAATGTGTCCCGGTTTTGTTGTTTGAGGTCATGTAGTTCAGCAGACCAGTCATGCTGATGCTGATGGTGACATCAGATACTGTATATTAGACATGTGACTGTATCATAATCCTAAAGCACCCAGCCAAATAAACATGTTTACACTTTAAGCATGATATCATATGGCCATTTGTGTGAAAGTTTGGTGTCATTTTTAACCCTAATTGTTCTCTAAAAGTCGTTAGATTAGTCGCTAGTTTTTCTTTATGAAGATACTGATGTGGTAATAGAGGAGAGTCAGAGTAACTTAGCCATCATATATGAAAATGAGTTTTATTCAAATTGCAAATTCAAATGTCTTGGAGGTAGACATTTTGATGTTATTATTGTTCAAGATTTGGATCAGGTGGATCAAAGTAACAACTACAGGTACAAGGGTGTAATATCAGATAGATATATGCAGTTAAATGTGAGATATTAACTTATTTATCTTCCTTCCTTCCTTCCTTCCTTCCTTCCTTCCTTCCTTCCTTCCTTCCTTCCTTCCTTCCTTCCTTCCTTCCTTCCTTCCTTCCTTCCTTCCTTCCTTCCTTCCTTCCTTCCTTCCTTCCTTCCTTCCTTCCTTCCTTCCTTCCTTCCTTCCATTTTGAGACTGTCCTCCATACATTATTTTGTTTTAAGATAAATAGAGGGACATCTGAATAACTCTTATCGTTATTTGAGCTGTATTCCTACAGGCAGGCAGTTACAGCATTTTATGTCACCGTGAAACTTAAAAACATGTTTAAAAAAACAAATCAGAAAGCTGCACATGGGCAATAACTTAAGGTTATTTGTGTGCTTACTGATATTTTGATATGCATGGTAATCTATAACTGTACAGTCTACTTTGAATGCATTAAAAAAATTGTTCCCCTATAATTAAAACTGGCAAGAAATGAAACTAATGTAAAAAAAAGTAATTAACGTTTGCTATTTATGCTGTGGCATATGCAGATAGAAGTGGAAAATGCTTAGCTTTTTCTTATTATTGTATCTTAAATGACTCGCATTTGTCCTGAAACCTAAAAACATAAATAATTTCAGCAATAAATAAAGCTTCTCTAAATGTAAGAAGACCTCTGAAGTTATACATGATGCCTTTAACCTCATCCTTTAATCCGTTGTAATCCTCTTAATGGTCCAAGATAATTATATTACCCAAGAATTTCACAAATTTAACAGTAGTCATTTTCAGAAAACAGATTTTTATTTCATGTGCTCATGGTTGTCTTCAAAGTGTGAAGGGGCAGGAAAATATTCTCAATGACAGTAAAACTAGACTGACTGCCTGTTTTTGTCCATCAGGGCTAAACTTGGACACGGGCTGCTCTCAGGCCAGTACTCCAAGCCACCCATGAAATCTGAGCTCATTGAACAGGTGATGAAAGAAGAACACAAGGTATTAAACGGGGTATGTCCTGCTCTTAAACTGGAAGACCATAACCAATGTTGAAAATGAGTGACTGAGTTGGTGGTTATGGTATCATTAAGCTGGTTTTAATGTAATAATGTCTGGATATAAGGAGGAGATGAGGTGTGTTATCGTAATAGACCAGGACCTCCTAGTTGGAGCTTCATTTTTAGCCTCATTATGCAGAATGACTAATGTGGCACAGCTGTGATCCTGAACTTCCTACATGTGATGGAGAAGACAGGTTTGGACATGTATTGACATCTGAGAGGAGAGCAGTGGTCGACTTGTAACCTATTTGCACACAGGAGTTCTTCACAACTAATAATTATTTATTTAAGGATAACCAAGTCTCTACCTGGGGTCCATAAGTATCACAGATCTATGATTACCTTAATTTTTCAAATGTATTTCCCTCTCACAAATGATTGTTTATTAAATCGTAATGGTAATACATCTTTCTTCTCTGGATGACAGAGAGATGACTGTTATGCTGTAAACATGTTTGACATATTTTATGTAAAAGACCGCATTAAGTAATGGAAAAAGGATGGACCATTGTTATTTAATCCTTTAAATAAAGATCTAGAGAGTATGAAATACATTTATTTTCACGGATTAACAGTTTAAAATGTTTCAGTCTGGACATAGTAACAGTTTTAACGATATACAAAAAAAGATTTTAGTAAAAATGTTGCCTTTTCGCCTTTAAGGTTAGAATCAAACACTTTTACCCTAAGTGGTGATTTTATACAAATCTATAATTTAAGATGCTGGTTAAGTGTTATAAAAAGATGAAAACTGCTTATTTTATTTTAAACATTTCTGGCTACATATTTTATTGTAAACCTAATTGCTGAACAATTCTACTGAATCCTGCTTTATTATCTAGATTTTAGTGCCGTGCTTTAACCGCTGTGAAAGGTGCCTTTTTTATTCTCAACTATTGTGACTTTATTTGATATTTCTGTTTTTTTATTAGCACCTACAGAGAGGGATCTCTCCGCGAATGTTCAAGGCACTGGTAAGCAGGGGCCACCCAGAGTTTTCCTCCAACAGACAACAAGATGTCCATGAGTTCTTCCTGCACCTCATCAACTTGGTGGAAGTAAGTCATTCTTAACGCCTGTTGTGTTATAATGAGGTATAACTTCTTGTCCAACACTCTGGAGGACAAACAGAACATTGTGAACCACTAGATTGACTACCAAATTAGTTTCTGATGCAAAATTACTTCATCTGTTGGACATGGATAAGTTAAAACTTTTGATCAGTGACCAGTTTGTTCAGAAATGGGGAGATGGACTTAAAAAAAAAAAAAAAAAGAGGAGGATTGAAAGGAATCAACTCCACATCTTGTGAAATCTTTTCATGCACACTGGAAAAAAATGAAATCTAGATGAGTAATTTTTTTCTTACAATAAGTGTATTTGTTCTTGAATTGTCTTATTTCAAGTGCACGTTTATCTAATTATCTTATTTTAAGAATAAAAAAACTAATTCCATTGGCAAACTGTTATTTACCTACTCAAGTTAAGGATAAATACACTTAATTTAGGAAATTCTTACTTATTTCTAGATTGTTTTTTTCCCAGTGTAATCTTATAGGAAGTGCCCGGACATTTTTGTTTTATATCATCGGGTGTAAAAATAGAATCTAGACAGGACCTGTCCAGTCGGTACCCTTTCCTTTGCTCACACTGCTGAGAATATATGCCACCAACCCACCGTCCACTTTGATGGCATCACATTTATGATTAAGTTGTCTTTTCAACAACATTTTTCTCCAATGTTTCAATTTTTTTTAAATCTACTTGCTGACTTTTACTAAACAGTACAATACCCCCATGGATGGATCATAAATTCTTTCAGATGGTTCTCTGAGTGTGGAATTATTTACTTCTAATGCTATCAGTTGCATTTGGAAGAGAGATATTTTATGTTTATATGTTACAAATCTCATATGATGATGTCTCTCTGTTTAGTTTATTGTGAAATTTCTAAACTCGCCTTCAATCCAGTTGCTGCCATTAAAAAAAAAAATAAAAAACATAAAATTTTTTTTTTTACAGCCATCTATAATTGACAAACTGACTTATGCAGACTGATAACCAGGCTAACTCTGTTGCTCTTCTAGCCGAGTGTATTTCACAAGTTGAGTGAAATTATAGCTTGTTTATTTCTGTAGCTTCTTAGAATAGTAGGCCAGCATTGCCAGAACTCTTCAGCCATGCAGACTGGTTTCCCTTTCAACTTAGTCTTCAAATAAATGGTGTTAAATCCCCAGTGAGCTCAGACGATGTGAGCATGGGAAACCTGAGCAGCCCCATTAAAATAATCGATGTATCGGTGTTTCTAAAAAGATGCAAATTTGTTAAAAATTAATAATAGAGGACTTATCTGAGATCTGGCTGACAGATGCTGGCAGACTCCAATATTATGGCATCAAATGTCAGTACCTCATTATATAGAGCACATGGCACAAACGTTTATTCTTATTTTAAAGTGTTCTTTATCATTATTTAAACAAAATTGATAATATTTACTTATTTTGTCGAGATCTGTACATTTTCTGTTCCCTAATCTGCTGATTTGTAATCTTTTATTACTGGTGGAACGGGTTAGTACTTAGCATTTAGTAAAACTTTGTTATGGATTTAATCGGGTGTTTTTCTTTAAGCGTGAAAGGTTTTTTGATTTTTCTATGTAGAGGAACAGTGCTGGCTCAGAGAATCCAAGCGACTCCTTCCGTTTTTTGGTGGAGGAGCGAGTCCAGTGCTGTCAGAGCCGGCGTGTCCGTTACACTCAGCGGGTGGACTACTGCATCCAGCTGCCAACACCCATAGAGGCAGCTACTAACAGAGGTGCTTTGATTTAAGTTTGTGCTTATTTTTGTTTAGTGTTAAAAATTCATAAGTAATACTTTAGTCAAGGTTTTAATTAGATTTGCAGTGTTCAATTCAATTTAATTTAGTTTATTTATATAGCACCAATTCATAACACGTCATCTCAACACTTGACACTTTGCCAATGGAACGAAACAATTTCTACTTAAAATAAGAAGAAAACAATCGCATTGCTTTATTTTAAGTGCATGTTATCTAATTATCTTATTTATAATCATATTCATTGGCAAAACATCTTATTTATCTAATCAAATTAAGGGTAAATATACTTTATTCAAGACTTTTTTTTACTTAGTTCTAGATTGCAAAAATGACACTGCAAAAATGATCTAGAAATAAGTCAATATTTCTTAAATTACAGGTGCTGGTCATAAAATTAGAATATCATGAAAAAGTAGATTGATTTCAGTAATTCCATTTAAAAAGTGAAACTTGTATATTATATTCATACATTACATACAAACTCATATATTTCAGATGTTTATTTTGTTTAATTTTGATGATTACAAATGACAACAAATGAAAATCTCAAATTCATCATATCAGAAAATTAGAATATTGTGAAAAGGTTCAAAATTGATGGCCCCTGGTGCCACACTCTAATCAGCTAATTAACTCAAACCACCTGCAAAAGCCTTTAAATGGTCTTTCAGTCTAGTTCTATAGGCTACACAATCATGGGGAAGACTGCTGACTTGACAGTTGTCCAAAAGACGACCATCGACACCTTGCACAAGGAGGGCAAGACACAAAAGGTCATCGCTAAAGAGGCTGGCTGTTCACAGAGCTCAGTGTCCAAGCACATTAATAGAGAGGCGAAGGGAAGGAAAAGATGTGGTCGAAAAAAGTGTACAAGCAAGAGAGATAACCGCACCCTGGAGAGGATTGTGAAACAAAACCCATTCAAAAATGTGGGGGAGATTCACAAAGAGTGGACTGCAGCTGGAGTGAGTGCTTCAAGAACCACCACACACAGACGTATGAAAGACATGGGTTTCTGCTGTCGCATTCCTTGTGTCAAGCCACTCTTGAACCACAGACAGCGTCAGAAGCGTCTTGCCTGGGCTAAAGAGAAACAGGACTGGACTGCTGGTGAGTGGTCCAAAGTCATGTTCTCTGATGAAAGTAAATTTTGCATTTCCTTTGGAAATCAAGGTCCCAGAGTCTGGAGGAAAAGAAGAGAGGCACTTCATCCACGTTGCTTGAAGTCCAGTGTAAAGTTTCCACAGTCAGTGATGGTTTGGGGTGCCATGTCATCTGCTGGTGTTGGTCCATTGTGTTTTCTGAGGTCCAGGGTCAACGCAGCCACATACCAGGAAGTTTTAGAGCACTTCATGCTTCCTGCAGCTGACCAACTTTTTGGAGATGCAGATTTCATTTTCCAACAGGACTTGGCACCTGCACACAGTGCCAAAGCTACCAGTACCTGGTTGAAGGACCATGGTATCCCTGTTCTTAATTGGCCAGCAAACTCTCCTGACCTTAACCCCATAGAAAATCTATGGGGTATTGTGAAGAAGAAGATGCAATACACCAGACCCAACAATTCAGAAGAGCTAAAAGCCACTATTAGAGCAACCTGGGCTATCATAACACCTGAGCAGTGCCACAGACTGATCGACTCCATGCCACGCCGCATTGCTGCAGTAATACAGGCCAAAGGAGGCCCAACTAAATACTGAGTGCTGTACATGCTCATACTTTTCATGTTCATACTTTTCAGTTGGCCAACATTTCTATAAATCCTTTGTTTTTATTGGTCTTCAGTAATATTCTAATTTTCTGATATGATGAATTTGAGATTTTCATTTGTTGTCATTTGTAATCATCAAAATTAAACAAAATAAACATCTGAAATATATGAGTTTGTATGTAATGTATGAATATAATATACAAGTTTCACTTTTTAAATGGAATTACTGAAATCAATCTACTTTTTCATGATATTCTAATTTTATGACCAGCACCTGTAAGTGTATTTACCCTTAATATAAATCAGTAAATAAGATTATTTGCCAATGGTATGAGTATTTCTACTCTTAAAATAAGATAATTAGATATGTGCTTGAAATATGATAATGCAATAATTTTTTCTTAGTTTAAATGTAAATTGTCTTGTTCTACTGTCAGTGTCTCTCCTACCTTCTCAGTTCAAGAACAAGTGCACTTATTTTAGAAAAAACAACTTATTTCGATTTTTTTCAAGTGTGCTATACGGGGGTCGGGGGAAAAAAAGCTCAGAGATTACTAGGACTACACAATATACTGCAAAGATATCACAACATCTGTGTGTGCAATATTAATATTGCTAAGTACACTTCAGAGTTCTACAATTGTAGCACCCTTTTTTCCTGCCTGTGCAGAGTTTGCCCCTTTGACTCTCATGGCAGCAGATGTTCAAAATTCACAGAAATTACGAAAAAAATGTAAAAGTCACAGTGATAAAAACACTGACGAAAATAGAGGAAAAAAGAAAATAGGTGTATTACCACTGATATAGAGATTGCAGCATTTATCCTTATTATCCTTGGTTGGCTAATAAGGTTCAGCCTTAACATATACACACACAGAATTTAGTTTTTCATAAATTGCGAGAAATATAAAAGCTAATGTGACATCTTAAATAATTGATGTTACATTTCCACTGCCATGTTGATATATTATAATTTTTTTTTTTTTTACAATATTTGAATCACTTGTATTATGATTAAAATATCATGAACTCTACTACTAGTTTCTGCTGGGGAACTCATCTGAACCTCTGTAGATTATTTAAAAAAGAAATATCGATAAAACGATCCCTCCTCAAAAGACTGTTAAACAACAACAGACTGTCTTCAGTCTGAGGTTTCTACAGATTCACAGAGAATCCTTCCAGCTTACAGATGTCAACATGTACAAAAATTCACTGAAAAAAAGTTACTTCAGCATTTAATTTCCCTTTGGGATTAATAATTGTTTTTGAATTGATGTTAAACTTTTTTCTTGCAGAGGAGCTGCTTGCATACGAGGCCAAGCGGAAAGAAGCTGAGGAGAACAGGCGGGCCCCTCCTGAACCGGTGCGAGCACGAATTCCTTTCACAGCCTGCCTTCAGGCCTTCACAGAGCCGGAAAATGTTCCTGACTTCTGGAGCTCTGCGTTGCAGGCCAAGTCAGCTGGAGTCAAGTGAGCATTCATGCATTTTTTGAAATGCCTCATTCCATTCCCTGCTTTAAAGAAAAAAAACTCCCTGCTTAAAAAAAAAAGCAACAACTAATTTTTAAACATTTTTTCCTAGAACTTCCCGTTTTGCCTCATTCCCAGAGTATCTGGTTGTGCAGATCACAAAATTCACATTCGGTATTGACTGGGTTCCAAAGAAGCTTGGTAAGTAAACCACAGCACTATGTTGATTATTGGTACCTAAGATATATTGATCTCCAGCAATGTTGTGACTGGGATTGAATAAATGGTGTAAAACTAAAGGTAACCAGCAGATGGTGCCAGCAAGCTGCATCTCAGTAGGAGTATACTTTTCTGACAAACTACCACAAATTGAAAAATGCTCCTAATGCTTTGTATAAAATATATTATATAGGATATGTAATATATATATATATATAATCTATAGTATAAAATATAAAAAACCGACTTGTTTAAAATAGTGAATGAACCAGTGGTCATTAATTATTGTGATTTAAGGAGTCACCAACCGTAGGGGGATGAATCTCTTTAGCTGAAACCAGTATGTTTGTGTCGTTTTGCAGACTTAGCCATCGATGTTCCAGACTTTTTGGATCTGAACCGCCTTCGAGCCACAGGCCTGCAGGCTGGTGAGGAGGAGCTCCCGGATCTTATGCCTCCCATTGTATTACCGGAAGACACCAGAGGTATGACACTCAACATAATTTGCAACATTTGCATCAGCATGTGTAACATTCTCCTCTAGGTTTCAAATTGGAAAATAAAAGTATAACTCTTTGTTTCTTTTTTTTAATTTTTATTCCCTATGATGAACCGTATTTTGGTGAGTTGAGTAATATTCATCCATTTTTCTGACTCTCACTACACGGACAGTAGACTCCTATAATTTACAAGCAGAGGCCCTCAGCGACATTGGTGGTGATGCATGAACTGGATGAAGTAAATGCTAAATGACATTCTTTACAACTTGGGGCCTTTTTTTGGCCCAACATTTCCAATAACATAGCCCTGTTCTTGTTTATAAAGGGCAGCATTTTCTCTGAGCATCTGCTCTTTTCTTTGGCCTTAACAAATATTGGGCCTTTGTAAAGTTGTCATAAGTGCAGAAGTTTTTGGTCCAACCAAGCCACAACTTCCAGGTGATTCAATAAGTCAGTGTGAGTTGTTAAAAGAAGCTCCTCGACATCCTTCAAAGCTGACATGGAGTATTTTCTAGGGCCCAGTCATCTGTGAAATTGTCTTTGGTATGATATTTTGCTCAAAACCGACAAACTTCTCTCCTAAGTACACATTCAGTGGGAATGGCAGGGGAAGGAAACGCTCAGGCAGTTAGTGGAAAGTTGTGTTCAAAGTGTGGCTAAGCCTTATAAATTGTGATTATTTCATGCAAGCCTCTTGTAATATACATGGCTGGCTTTTGGGAGAACAGATTCTGGAATCTGGTTGGTTTTATTTAGGAGGAAATGTTGAAGTATCAGACTCTAACCTTTAGAAACATGGTTTACATATAGCACATCAGAGCTTTGTCTTCCTTTCTCCCTAAAGGCTAAAGCCACAGCTTTTTGCCTCTGTCTGTCTTGTGAAAACCTCATTCTGTCGAAAAGCTAAACTACTTGAAATTATGATTAATATATTAATTAATATTTTAGAACTACTGCAGATAGAGAGAGAGAGCTGAAGGAAACACTTTTAGATGGAACAAACGAGATGTTTTAAAAATATCTCAGGCTGCTGCATCACAGTAAGCTTGGTAGAAGAAATAATTTGAAGCTTTACTGTCAGAGTGCTCCTAAATATTTTAAGACTCAACAACTTGTGTCAAACAGTTAACTGATTTTAAAGATTTGATTAATCTTCTTTAGATTAGCAAGTTTGTATGGACACAAACATGAGCCAAAAATGATTTTGACTTGCAAATCAAAGTTTTTAATGTAAAAAAAATCAGAAAAAAAGGAAACTGTACCTTTTTTTTATCACTATTATTACCAAAAAGGTGCCATAAGAAATATGTACCCCTTTACAGATTATTTTTTTATTTTTTGTTTCTTTAGAATATATTGGGGAAAAATGGTCTCATTAGTAGATACATTAATTAAAGCAGCTTCTTAAAGATGGTATATTTGCCTATACATTTTTCTTAAATTTGAGCAAAATTCAATTCAAAAAAATACTTTTGTGGTCACTTCACAGCTCTTTACAAGTTATAATATAAAATGTTTGTAAAAACCTCTGAAAATGCAATTTTGGTTAAATCTTTCTCCATGAAATGAAAAGTCAAGCTGTTGTGGCAAAGCAGCGTTTACTTGCACAAATATTAACTCTCAAACTCTGTAAGTTACAAAGCTTGATTTACAAACGCAAATAGCCTCTGGCCTTGAACTGCCTTATATACACTGTATTTTATACTTAGACCTGAATCTAACAACAGTGAAAATGTTTTCCAATTCGATTAACTCCCAATCTGTTTATTCAAGGTTGCAATAACATCCTTTTACAGTTAATGGGATTAAAACTGTGAAATGAAAGGATGTCAGAAAATAACTGGTGTTTATCAATATGCTCACATTGGTTTGTCTCATATTCATTAATTTTAATTTTAATATTAATTTTTGTCTGCTGTAAATTGACTTCTGGCTCGTTATCCCTCCCTGATGTTGGCTGTGATGGATGATTGGTCACTCTTTTGTCTCCGGATGCATGATTGTTTCACACTGATTACATCGCGGCCCACAAATGTGTGTTCTTGCGGCCAGATTCAACCAAAATCGGCCAATTTACTCTGACATTTCTGACCGTTTATGGCAAGAAAAGATTGGAAAGAAATTGTTTTGCTGTAATATTTCTTATTTTAATTTATCAATCAGAACTCTGATTACGTTTTAAATTTTATTCTATGAGTTTAGCTCGCCTTTTTTCTACGTTAAAAATTAAAAATATGCCACAACAAACAACCAACTACTTCATGTAATATTGTATTTTTGTAATGTATATTTTTTTATTTAATCAAACTGTAACAGACGGAAGAAGCATATCAGAATCACAGAATGATTTGCTATGCAACTGGCTTTGTGCTGTAATTCTGGCCCCTAAAACCCTACATAGAAGGTAAATATATCATTTTTCTAATGTATAACCAACAATGATTAAATTCTAAAGTGGGACGCGATTAAATTTTTTAATCGCGATTAATCGCATGGCTGTGAAATTAATTAATCGAATTAATCGCATTTTAATCGCATACTTGGAAACTGCAGGAAGTAACTTTTTCCACATGGATTTTGAATGACAACACATAAGCTTAATAGACAAAATATTGTTTATTTTTTTTAAAGAAATATCAACAGGCCAGTGCAAATTTTAAAGTTCAACATATTTAGGAACGCTAAACTCAGAAATTCAGGTAGCTCTATAGGTATAGGTAGAGCTTAATACTGCTTTTTAAACGCAAAAATGCAATACTCAAGTACATTCAGAACAAAAAGCCTCTGAGGCTTTAACACAATTCGTGGATTTATCAACAGTTCAACTGTTTACAAAAAATAAGTCAGAAATTAAATGAAATTCAGTCCAACTCTTTATAACATTGGCCATTCAGATAGTTCAGTTCAACATAAAGTGACAGTGATTGACCTCCAATTTTTCCCATTTGAAACACAACTGGCCAACTGGCCTCAGGATACACATTAACTGATTACTTCCTCTCTTTCAGCCAGTTGCTGAGACATACTAGCCTGTTCACATTTTCAGAGCTCAGGGCTGCCCTCTTCTTTTGAACTATGTTACCTGCCAGGGAGAATAATCTTTCGCAGGGTACCGAAGTGGCAGGGCTGCCTAGATACTTGCGGGCCAGGACAGAGAGCTGTGGATGGGCTCTCTCATGAGTGGACCACCACTGCAGTGGGCAGTCTCTCTCACTGATGGTAGGCTCTGCCTTGTAGCGGGCCAAGGCTCCTTTGGGCCCATCTTCATCCTCTGATTCAGAGTCGGAATTATACAGCAGGAGGCTCCTCTTCCTTGCTGGCTCCTCTGTGCGTTCCGGTGTGGCTCTGCCTGGTTGTTGTTGCACCAGTGCCTCAATGCTGGTCCACACCTCTCCTCGCTCTCCTCTTGGTAGACACTTTAGGTCCTTAAGATCAGAATAAGAATCAGAATCAGGTTTGTGGTCACATTAATCAGAGATTTACAGAGTACAAGCTGGATGAAATTCATTAGTATACATGGTTTCCATCATCCAGAATCTCCTCTACTGGTTGTGCCTATGGTCAAGTCTAAACTGTCCATATTAGAACTGCTCCAACAGCATCTTGTTTTAAAAAGAAATTAAAAATAGCATTATTCTCATCTGCCTTTGGTAATAGTTGGTTAATTATCTTCAATCCATAAAACAACATGAATTATTTTTTTCTGTTTTCATTTTTTTTTACTCTTTAGCACACTGAATGACAATTATGTATGATAATGTGCTATACAAGTCATGTTGATGTTGTTATTCCATAAGAGAGGGGAGGGGAGGGGGCCGAGGAAATAAAAGAGTCATAAGCAATAAAAGAGAAAAATAAAGAAGACCATTACACACCTTAAAGCGAGGGTCGAGTGCTGTAGCCACTTGTAGAAATCTGTGATTTAGGGCATCCTCACGCTGAGACAGCCCCTTATCTTCTACCACAGCAATGGGTCTGCAGTCGAGAGCCGCCCAGTAAGCCAGCGCGTTGGTCATTTTCTCGGCCTTGGTCTTGCTTACCCTGCCCTTGAAGCCAGTCAGCTGGTGTAGTGTGGGTTGTTTCTTCTTCCTCCCAGTCGGGCTAGCTTCCACGCTAGTATCTGCCAAGCTAGCTGCTACATGCTTTGCTTCAGGTGATATTTGAGGCTTGATACGCTGCGGTGATGGGCGAATTCCTTGTTGCATAATTTACATATGACCGCGCTCTTATCGACTCTTCCCTCCTGTATTTTAAAACAAAATTTCCCCTGCAAAGGACCAACTAAAATGTTTTCATCTGCTTCGTCTAATTCTTCCATGGTTGTCTCTCCTTCTAGTTAAAAGCAACTTTCTTCTCTGTTCTTCTTCTTCAGTTTCTGTCCGACGGTATTCTGGCCATAGTTCTAATGCTGCCCCCACAGGTGAAATAATTACTTGGGTGAAATCCCAAACGACTTCCAGGAGACTTTGGTGTGCGATTAAAATGCGTTAATTTTTTTAACGCGTTAATATTTGTATGATTAATTAATCGAAATTAACGCGTTAATGTCCCAGCCTTAGTTTCCATATGTTAAAGTTACTTTTGTATAAAAATGGCCACAGAACTTCATTGTTTTTGTAATATGATGTATTGAATTGTTTTAACCAGCAAATAATACAGTACATGACCATAATAAGATAGTTATTCTGTTTCAATAATTTCTTTCAAAAATACTAAAACTAATACATTTTAAAACTTTATGATAGTTTTAATGACTTGGACTCCCTATAAACAAAAATCCCATATTATCATTTTCTGAAAATTAGAGTTTTTAACATTACTGATTATTAAAAAAATAAAAATAATGAAGAAACATTTTGCATTCAAGCTAATAGTTATCAGAAAGCTTGCTGATTTACTTCAGTTGTCCAGCCAACAGTCACTTACGTCTCCATAAGTAGGGCAAATCACAAAAGTTTATTGCTAAAGAAGCTGGTGGTTCACAGAGATTTATAGAAGCATATTAATATAAAGACGAGGAAATGACAAACATGTGGTGGAAAATGCTGCACTGCCCTTTGGACAGTTTTTGGGAAGAAGATGACTAGTTTGCAGCTGGAGCCATACCTACGTCAGGGAGACAAAGGACTTTTTGGTTAAAAGTCCTCTTTTCACAGGAAAGCAGATCCGAGCTGCTTCATTTCCTGTGTATATTTTCCACTGTCGGTAGGGAGCCAGTCTCCACTTGTAATAAGCTTAATAAGCTTAAAGTCAACACAATAAACCAGAACACTATAGAGAACTTCAGCATCTCCACAAGGTGTTTCATTAGGAAGAAGCATTCTTTCATTTCCCAGCAGGACGTAACACCTGCTACCACAGCCAATGGAACTAATACCTGCTCTAATGAACATTTATCAGCAGATTTGGCCTGAGTTAATCCCTACTGTTAAATACAGACCATCATCAGGAATGCATTCATCATATGGGTGCGTGTTCAGATAAAGCAGGGGATAGAAATTTTAGCATATATACAAAACATTAGACTTCTGGCTGCAAAAAGCAAAACTTTTCTTGGCTTCAGGAAAACATGCTTTTGTTTATCAGCTCTTTGGACTTAAAGGCACACTGTAACATTTTGCCAATAGGGGCGCTTGACCTTTAACTACCTGCATTTTGCTTCTACTAAACACCGAAAATAATAACAAAGATATATGACTGTATGCAAGGAGCAATAATAATGAGTCTAATAATAATAAGTCTAATAATAAAAGTTGAGATAAGAGAATTGAGGCAACAAACAAATTCCTTTTCAAGATTGACTTTTGTTTCTACTCAGGCATGATCCCTTTCACCCTTTCTCTATTTAGCTTCCTCGGAAGGTTTAAACTTTTTCCTTGTCTCAGCCATTACCCGTAGTCAAGCAGACGGAAATATAGTAGAGCAAAAGTCTTACCTCCATGATGATATAAGAGCCTGCAGCCATAAAGCGAAACATTCTTCCGGGTCACATGACCTGGCCAGTGATGGTCAACTTACATAGGTGGTTTTCAAGAGGGGAGCTCCACTCGTAGCTTTGATAGTGTCAAGCACTGTACATTGGTCTTAGGAATCATTTAAATTAAGTCTCCAGTGTGCCTTTAAGAAAGGACATTTTCCTATGATCCTCAATTAAATTCTATTTTTGTTGACAATGATTCTCACTAAAATGCTCCGTTGAGCTTTCTTGATGTTTAGGGAATGTCTGTAAATCCTCTAAAGAATTAATCCTCCTGAGGCATTAACTGAGCTGAGACAAATAAACAAAAACAAAACAGCCCATATAATTAATCTCACTGTGCTGTTACCTCTTACCAATCATTCTCCTGATTTTTTTTTCCTTTTTTTCCTCAGATAACTCGATGAGCTCAACTGACTGTAAGTATTTCATTTCTCTTCTGAGTCACAATGTTTAAACAAATGTGTTAGATGCATGAAAGTATTACATTGGAAAGTGTTTTTTTCCTATTCTGACAGTACTGATGAATGCTGTGACTACCCAAGCAGGTGCTGCAGATGCTCTGTACTTTCAGACAAACTTACCTTTTTCAATGTAGCTCTGCTTATTTGACTGGGGCTCATTTCTCTTGCTGATAAATCCTATCCTGGTAAAGATACCTTGCTGTGGCTTGATTCTGCTTTTTTTTATTTATTTATAATGAGTCCCAGAGAGAGAAAGTTGCTGTTACTGCTGAATCAGTGAGTGTATGTATAAGAGTTGATTTATTATGTATTTTTTACTTTTGTCCACAGCTCCAGAGATAGATGAGAGAGCAGTTATGCAGCTGGCAGAGATGGGTTTTCCGTTAGAGGCCTGCAGGAAGGCGGTGTACTACACAGGAAACATGGGCCCAGAGATGGCCTTCAACTGGATCATAGCTCATATGGAGGAGCCTGGTAAGGCAGCAACGCCGCAGACATCATGGCAACATTGTGCTAAGGAACAGGGGGAATGTTTGACTATCACATATTAAACAGGGTTCTTTACACAGTCTTCATTCTCTTTTAACAACATTTTGATAGATTTGAAAAGTTTTCTATATGCAAGTGAGAGGGCTTAGATAAAACTGACTGTATATGAGAGGGAACTTATCTCGGCTTGGCCAGCAAATTAAACAAAATGCACACAAGATTTATTGCCTTATTTTTTATTTTGATTTTTAGCTACTGGACAACCCTACGATTAAAAGAATATTTGACATATATAGGAAAAAATAAGAGTGATTTGATGATTTTGTTGAATCTGTTTAAATAGAAATATGTGAAATGTTGAGAAATTTTACAACTTGTATCATGAAAAAACTTCTGGATGTACTGGATGTCAACTCAGAAGTTATAAAATGAGAGAAAAAACTCCTAGTCAATAAATACATTTTTATTCTTGGTACATACTAATGGTGTTTCTACAGTAATAATTAAATTAAAATACAAAACAATATCTTAAAATTTCACAGAATAGATCTTACAGCAAAAGGTGAATATGGTCATAATTATATCTATCTATATCTACATTATATTATACACCATATATATATATATATATATATAAACTTTCCAGATAACTTAAAAAAAAACTTTGATATGTCATACGGACTATACATGATATACTAAAAAGTTGTGTTGCATGTGTTTTGTAATGCATGTAATCATCTTATTCATCAGAATTTGTACAGGAGAAAAATAAACTTGGTTTCTTTTAATATGTGTTATGACAAATTTAGGGCATAAAAAAATTGGTGCCAGATTAATTTTTTAATTGCATTTTGAAAAAATAAGATTTTTGTTGGCTTTCAGGTAGTTTGGGCGTATGTGGGTTACAAATAAAGCAAAGCTGATGTTTGAATATATAGAGACACAGTACAATTTTTTTGAAAATGTCAATGTGTCAAAGCATCAAGCTTCCTGCTTATGATTTAAATTAAGATTCTTCCTCACCTTTGGGAAGTATAAAGGGCAATTTGCAGACTTTTACTGGTCTGTTAATTAATATATAATTAGTAGGATTTTAGAGTAGATTATTGATATAGACTTTTATTTTTTAATTTTCCATTAAAGAATATTTCACTTGTACAAAACCAAAGACTGCGTGCAATTTCCCTTTTCTTTAACTGCAACTATCGTTAATGGTTGGTATCGTTATTGTTATTGAGTTTTAAGAGGAAAGTTAAAACTAGAAAAACCAGACAGCATAGAGGCTGTATCTTTAATCAGAGTCCACAAGCTTCCAGAGTGTGCAGAGAGGAGACTGACAAAGAGCACCAAAAGGCAGGGAAAGTTTATTTATTAGGGACCGTTTTGAACACAGAGGTAATTTGAAGTGATAGACACATCACATCTAATGTTCCCGTAGTCTGTATATATAGAAACTCTGGCGCTGTTATTGCTGGTACCACACTACCTCCCTTTCTGGGCTGCATGTATTTATCAGTGCATGTCCATGTATTTCTGATCCTCACCAAAAACTTTGTTGAAGTCAATCCAGAGTATCAGAGCTGCTCAGCAGTGAACTATCCCCTCAGGCATCAACTCGTGTCACTTTTTATTTCCCTTCCTAGATTTAAAGAGGCTTTGAAGAGTAGAAGGAAATTAGAGCCTCCTCCTGAGAGTTACTTTTTAAATGGGACCAGTGCATATGCAAAATACATGCCTTCTTTTTTTAAATATTTTATTTCTCTCACTGTATAATTTTGTTTCCCTGAGAAATTCAGGTTATTCTAAACATTCTGACTCAAAGTTGCACATCTTTCTGCAAATTTCTTTACACTCTAAAACTATTATTAAAAAGGGGATTAAATTAAATGATTTTTATTTTCATTAATTTGCACAGATCACTTAGAAGCTCTAGAGTCAATGTAGATCTAATAAATGTGAAGAAACATTAAAATTATTCAGAAATGTCTATTTTTCAGCCACATACATAACAGAAATATGTCCATAATTACCCTGTATTCCACTATGATGTTAATGCACATGATAGGGTGTCTGGTGTATTCATGATATTGCCAGCTGCTCAGATAATTTACAGTACATCTGCAGTTATGTTCAATATAATAACATTCCAATATGGCAACTCGGATAACAGCTTTTAGTAGAAATTCGATTTTTACATGATGGGTACCAGGCTGCGGTTGACTTGATGCCACACAGATGTGAAGCAGTTAATATGGAATCTGCAAGCATTTTTTCAACTGAAAAAGTAAATTTCTACATTGTAAAGAAAAATACAGGAACTTCAAATTCTACACTTTTCATAGATGTATATAATATAAAAAAATTTTAATCTTCCTTTATGTGTTCTGTATTAGAACAGCCATGCATCTCTTTCTATGGATTATTGAGAAAGTTGCATTATTAAAATGACTGATATATTTCAATAGTTTTCTTGTTTTTACAGATACTTCTAGGAAATTTTAAAGGTTTCCTTTGTATTGTGACTAACTAATTGAGAGTAGCATAAACATATAAATTAAGAAAATACTTATTTGCAAATACATGCAGTTTAGATTAGAAATGACTCCTTGTAAAAAAGACACAAATTATTTTTGAATGTGTAAGAATGGAGATTATTTACACACAGCACACTTTTTAAGATCTCCTTGTAGCTGCATCAGGCAGGGAAAACCAGTATTTACCACTAAACAGAATAATTCAGCATTGTCAGATATGTTAACAAGGTACTGTCTATCTGCAGATGATATGCGTGGTAATGAAAAAATGAATGCCCTCTTTTTATCTACACTTTATCTACCAGTTAATTATTTTTTTATCTTCTATTGAAAGTGTTGCTTTTAATAAAAGCAAACCATTCTCTTCTTGTGGGACCTGCTCGCCCTCAAGGACAATCTCGTATATTTAATCTACTATTCCGTCAGTGACTGCAGAAACATGCCTACAATAAGCCATAAAAGAATGGTTTGTTAACCTGGTTCAGATGATAACGTCTTGAAGACAACCAATTTCATGTGATTAAAAAAACAAAAAAGTATCAGTGATGAGAACACAAGACTAGAAAGCAAAGATAGAAACGAACACTGTGAGATAATTGCTATGATTTTTCTTTTACGTCAATGACTCTAACAGAGGCTCTCTTTAGTACCAGTGCCTCTATTCTCGAAAGCTCCTTGTTCCTAGTTGAAGGACATGTTGTCTAATGTCATTTGGTTAACGACACCTAGAGAACCAGCCTCTTTATAGCTTTTTTCCAACGTTAAACCTGAAATTATGTTACCACATTAATCCCCATTGACTCAATCTCTCTTTTTACTCAGAAATAATGCATATTAACTAGGATTTTGATTGATTAGCACTGAAACAATTAAATCAAGTTAATTGTGATTAGTAAATTATTAAAATAATTGTCAACTAATTTAGTAATCAATTAATTTTTAATTGGAGTATATAGATTGTAAAACATGCTTTGACAAAACAACCCAGTTAGAGCAGTAATTATAACAAGATTGTAAAAAATATATAAATATTTTGCATTTGAGATAAATGCTGCTGAGTGGAGTAGTGGGTAGCACTGCCGCCTTTCAGTAAGAAGGTTCCCGGTTTGATTCCGGAGTCTTCCTGCTTGGACTTTGCATGTTCTCCCTGAGCATGCGTGGGTTCTCTCTGGGTACTCTGACTTCCTCCCACAGTCCAAAAACATGACTGTTAGGTTAATTGGCTTATCTAAATTCTCCTTGGTTTTTTGTCCTGTCCGTCTCTGTGTTTCTGTGAGTTGCTGGAGGTCGGCACCAGCATCCCTCCCGACTTCCCTGGGATAAGCATGATGGAAAATGGATGGATGGATGTTGGCTGTCAATATGCTCTTCCAGAACTCCTCAAGTGGAAATGTTTTAGTTTCACCAGTTTTAATTTAATAAAAAAAAAAAATCATCTTTAAGGAACCTTTGGCTATCCGATTATTTAACGATAAGTTAAATAATCAATTTGCAACATAATCGTTAGTTTCTGCCGTAGTTTCCATACAACACAGATACGAAAACTAAAGGGTCTCAGTGGCAGAAAAAACATGATTGGTACCATTCAGTGCTGCTCAACTTTAGATAAATAAGCAATGTGCAGTCTTCATTCATTCATCATGCTTACCCTTGTAAGGCTGCTGGGCTTGACAGTGTGGCCCACATGAAGTGTGAATATTGCAAAAGCACTATGTTGTTTTATAACTTTTTGGTTGCTCTTCTCTGTCATCACGATGCTATACAGTGTAAACCTTAATGTTTGCATATGCGCTGGCACTTTCTGCACCAGGTTCTGAGTGCAGATTTTAGAAAATACATGGATGGAAACCTAATTAGGATCTGATGGTATCAAGGAGGAATTACTTTCCAGTTTATTTGCTTATATCAGTGACTGATGGTTGTCATTTCCTGCATTCTTGTAGAAGATTGTTCAATTATTTAACTGATGATTGGTTGACAGATGTGGGTATGAGTATTTTAAGTTAACTTACCTGCACTTTTTAATTCAACACACTTTCTTCTCAACTTAAAAAAAATGTTTCCATTTTTAACCTAATAAATGTATATTCTCCTAAATGCTTACATAGGGACTTATTTAAAGCTGTGCAAATTCCATCAGTCTAGCTCCTCAAATTGCTCAATCATGCATCTTCCTTTACCTAGTATAAAAGTGAGAGATTTGCACAAACTTTAAATTGAGAAAAGAACTGTGTGCAAAAACTTTGTGAAATATATTTCTTGCCTCCCATATTTTCCTTTGCTTGCAAATAATTTGACAAAATATAACTCTGGCAGAAATACTAGGGATAAGGAAAAAGTTATTTTCAGTACTGATGGTAGATTATTGATGTTAAGGTCACATCAGGTTTTTGGAATAATGTGCAACTTGAACATGTCTGTAGAATCACATTCCTATGTTTTAATGAATGCTCAGACCTTTCCCTTCCAATGCGGTTTGTTTTCTGTAGTTTTTCTATACTTAATTTCTATACATATCTTCTGTACGTTTTTCTTTCATTCCTTTATCTGCTAGTTCATGTGTCTGCAGAACTGGCTTGTTATTATCAAGGACTTGAAATGCTATATTTTTGATGTTACCAGTACTAAAAAAAAAATCCTCACTTTCTTTAAATTATTTTCCTTTTTTTTTTTTTTTTTTTTAACAGACTTTGCTGAACCTCTCACTCTGCCCTCAATGATGGATCCTCTTCCCTCCACTAGTGACAGCCCTGTAGGGGCCACTCCACTGGACAACTCGCCCCCTGAAGAGAGCGTCGCCATCCTCACATCAATGGGCTTTCCTCGTAATCACAGCATCCGTTCACTCAAAGCCACGGTCCGTCTTCTGCTAGCTGTTTTTATTTATTTGGTTGCTCTGCACTGACCCTTCTTCTTCCAGCTTATTAGCTTAATATTGCTTGTTTTTTAAATAAGAAAGAAAACTCTATTGTCGTATTTCAAGTGCATATTATCAAATTTTCTTATTTTAAGGGCACATACACTCATTCAGATAGATAATCTCATTTACCTGCTCAGATTAAGGGTGAAGACTTTTATCCTAAGAAATGTTTAATTCATTTTAAATAGTTTTTACAGTGTGAAACCATTCATTTTTAGCAGTTAGATATGAATACAGTGTCTTAGAATATTGCTTGTTTTTGTAGACTTTTGTCCTTTTTTCTTAGGAAATAATGGCAAAATTTAAAGTATTTTATTGAGATTTAATGTAGTAGAGCAACAAATAGTTGTGCGTAAATGTTAACTGGGTTAAAAAAAAGTGTTTTTTGGGGTGTTTCTGCCCATGAAAATCCTAATATACTTTAGCCCTTATTCTTTAAATCTTTGTAGAAACTGTTTCACTGCAATTGCTGCTGCAAGTCTTTTGGGGCATGATGACCAGCTTTGCACATCCCTGCAGCAGCAAAGTAATAACAGTAATAACAAAATAGTTATTTGAGTAAACATGTGCAGAGCTGAGCTGTCTCAGTGTGGGCAGTCACATCAGACCTGCTAAAAGAGTAGAAATTTTAGATTGGGAAGCTGATCCTTAGTTTGAATTAGTTGACCTTTCATATGAAAGTGAAAAAGTTCGACTTAAACAGGAGAAAGAATGTGGACTAATAACAGTCTAAATAGTGTGTTGAACATCTCTAAGGAATAAAGGACTAAAAGCACATCTGTAGAAGCTGTTTGGCACCATAACAAAACAAAACCAGCGCTTTGTTGAAACTTGAAGGAAAATGGGGCTAAACTTAAAAACTGAGACATAGCTTAAAGACAGGAGAAGCAGAAGGAGGGCAAGAAGTGAAGTAGCTTTTGAAAAGAGGGCAACAACAGAGCGAGGAGATGAAAAGCCAACCCTGTAAGTCATAAAAGGCTCTGGCTGCCCTACTTGTTCACTTTCCAAAGTACAGATTTGTTTGGCCCTGTGTGTCAGACTGATTAAATATGTCCGCTCTACGCGGTGTTTACAAATAGTCCTAACAGCACACCAACACCTCCTCCCCTCACCTCCATGTGGTGCAAACTTTCTGCTTGAGGGACAGGAAGTGTTTCGGGAGCTAATCTAAAAATTAGACGACTACTAAATGTGTCAAAAACATAAACAGTGTGAGAAATTATAAGCTTTGAGTTGTTCAACATTTCAAAGAGATTCCACTTCATGGACATTTATTCCTAAAGCCTTCAAATGGCATCTAGTTCTCACATTTCACGTGTCATATTTCAAACTGCCCCCCTCAGCAAAATATAGCCCAGTAAACAGTTGTTAGAAAACCAAAATAGATACTGGGCTTCTTGTTTATCATTAGCAAAGCCACAGTGTTCACTGGCAGCCATGCTGTTGCTGTTGTTAAAGTGGAGAGAAAACAAAGACTGCATATACCTCCCAAAGGAGGGAGGGAGGTATATACGACAGAGAGAGGGCTTGACAGACATATTTAGCGTTAAGGATGTTTATCTGACCCTAACAACCTCTCAGATGGGTAAACAGATGCCATCAGCCAAACCATCTCCACATACGCTCCCCAGACTCTCATTCTCCACCAGTCACACCTCTGCTGTGGATTCAGGCATCTTCAGGGAGAGTTTATCACAGATGGATGCCTCCCACCTCTGCAGTTAAAGCTTGCTCATTTATCGTCTTCATCATAAGTCCATACACCATAGCAGCGAAACTATAAGAGGAAACATTTCAAATCCTATTTTCATTCTCAAGTGCACCTTTCGATAACCAGTCATGCTACTATTTTAGATCCATGTATTTTATCTAGTGCTGTCAAAATTATCGCGTTATTAACGCGTTAACGCGAGGCCATTTTAACGGCGATAATTTTTTTAACGTGAGATTAACGCTATGTGGTTTTATGGTACAATTTTCCAAGTACATCCCCCTGCAGCCTGCGGGAAGGCGGGGCTATTTTCCCCCAGTGTATGCATTTCTCATAGGCTTCCAGAGCGGAGCTCCTCAAGGGAAAAAGACGCTCATACACTGGGTGACGCTAGTGCCTTTTCTTTAAGCCCCACCACCAACAAACAAGTTGAGTGTCTGGTAACTAGTAGCAACCTGAAATACGCTGAGAAAACAGATTACTGAGGTGAAATGGAATCTGCTACGGCACTCTTGCCGCATGTGTACGCCACAGCTCGGTATCGCGTGTGTGTGTGTGGGTGGGTGTGTCTGTGTGTGTTCTCATTTTTGTTAAGAGGCTGAAAAGTAACTTTCTAGAGCATAGAACGTCCATCTAGTGATGTCGGTCTATTGATTTTGATGTATTGATTGAAAATTGTTCATTATTATCTTGGTTAATTAACATCTAATGTTAACTCTACTAAATTTTATAGCAGTAGGGTAAAATGCTTGTCTTTGTTCAAAAGACTATTAACTGTAAAGACTGTCTTTTACATCAGCCTGTTTTCAGGGCCTTTTTTTTGGCTACATATTTGTTATTTTTTGCTACATGCCTCCCCATCTTCTTGCCATATGTTTCTATGGCATAAATCAGTATCTGTGACCTGTTTTCATTTAAAAAAAAGAACATTGGCACAAACCTAGCCTGTATGTATTTTTTTGTATGTCATCGGGAGTATTTAAATTATTTTCAATCAGGAAAAAAATGTGCGATTAAAATGCGATTAATCGCGAGTTAACTCAGGCATTGATGCGATTAATCGCGATTAAAAAATTTAATCGATTGACAGCACTAATTTTATCATATCATGGGGTAGAAAAACTCTTAAGATGTGATAAGAGTGGGGAGTACAACAAGTTTTATTTCTTTTTACAAATACAAATTATAAAACATTTTGTAACACACCTTTTAATTTATATACAGTCAAGTTCAGTCCACAGAATGTTTTTAAACTGACTCACCTTTTCTGTAATTTATTTCCTAGTATAAATTCAGCTGTTTTTTAAAGGCCTTGGGTTTCTTAGAGAGCTTAAATGAATCAAATGGCATCATGAAGGCCAAGTACCATGGCCGAGGCTACAAGAGAAGCTTTTTGTACATGTTTTCAAGGAAAAAAATAGTCTGGCATTTTCCCAAAGCTATCAATAACATAACTTTCAATTTTTACTAAGCAGGACAAGAAGGTGTTTTTTTTTTGTTAAAGAAAAGGCAAACATAATATTTATGGAAAAGTACCGTATTTTCACGACTATAAGGCGCACTTAAACGTCTTTTTTTCCCCTCAAAATGTGCGGTGCGCCCTTTGGTGCGGTGCGCCTTATGTGTGTTGTAACTGCGACTTTTGAGACCACCTCATTGAGGAGATGATGAAAGAGTGGCTGAATGTAAGGAGACCAGGTGTTTTTTTTTCCACTCATCACCATCGCTGTTAATATGTAACTCCATGCGTGCCCATCTCACAGCTGATGTGAAAAACATGGGGAAACAAATTAACGCTGTGCTCGCTGTTCAACCGCTCGACATCGGTGTGAACCGGACCCAGCAGGTGCAACAGAAGCAGCGAGTTTACATGCAAAGTCAATGGTTGACGCGCGTATAGGTGCAGCAAAAGGTCCTGCAGCGCGTTTTGAGCAGCAGGAGCGTTTAAGCATCTGCCAACGCGCTGCTGCTGCTCGAGATGGAAAAAATGAAGTTTTCCTGCTGGACGCGCCGCATCAACCAATCAGAGAAGCTGATCTGGGAGCTGACAGCGAGACAGACACAGCGCTCTGATGACATATGATATTAACACAAATGAAACGGGCTGGATGGATGAGGAGATGATGAAATCGTGGCTGAGGCAGGTCTATGTGAGGAGAACAGGTGTTTTTTTCCACGCATCACCATCGCTGTTAATCTGTGACTCCAAGCGTGCCCATCTCACAGCTGATGAGAAAAACATGGTGAATCAAATGGATGCTGTGCTCACCGTTATCCCGGGAGGTCTGACAAAGGAACTTGCGATCGATGGATGACAGACGGAGACCACAGTTTCAGGATAAGTGGAAGGCAGCGCCGGGCAAATTACGCCACCGTTTGCGGATGGATTGTAGATGCTTGGACTAACGTGTCTGCTGGCTCTGTTGTTCAAGCTTTCGCAAAAGCCGGCATTATTTCTGAGGAGCCGCGCTGCACGGAAAGTGACTCTGACAGCGAAGAATGGGAAATTGGCATGTCTGATTTAGCGCAGCTGTTTAATTCAGAAACAGAGGAGGATGACTTTGATGGATTTGATTAATACTTTGTAATAAATACATTAATAAAGCACAATCATACTCAGTTTTGCTCCCGCTCTATTTTTCTACCTGAAAACTTAATTCAACAGCAGCCTCTGGGCGGGTCTCCTCCTCTTCATCGCGGTGGCTGGCAGGTGTTTTTTCATCTAAATAATCTAAATCTTGCAGCTATATTTGCTGTGATCAGTGGGAATAAAGTAGTTTTAATATGTTTTTAAGTGAGAAAGTCCACCTGAAAACTTAATAATTGCAGTCAGTTCATCCAGATGATCTATTTCTGTCGGAGGCGCTCAGACCCCCACATACCAGCGGTGCACCGACAGCAGAAATCCCTTCATCAGCAGCCTCTAGGCCGGGCAGCCTCCAGGTTCACCGCGGCTGCTGGCAGGTGTTTTTCATCTAAATAATTTAAACTGCAGACACCAGGATACCGGCAATAAAAGCGAACAAATTCTTTCGGCAGGTTTCAGGATTTTAAGTTAATTTAGGAGTGATCACAGCGCTGTGTCATCTGCGATGTGTCTGTCTCACGGCCAGCACCCAGGTTTGATTAATAGCTACTTTGTAATAAATACATGAATAAAGCACAGTCATACTCAGTTTTGCCCCCGCTGTATTTTTAAATACGCAGTAGAGCTATTTAAAGGTAGTAGAGGACATGTACCTGTATATAAAAAACGCGCCCTATAGTCCGGTGCGCCTTATGTATGTGTTAAATACAGAAATGGGACACATAACTGAGAGTGCGCCTTTTAGTACGGTGCGCCTTATGGTCGTGAAAATACGGTAGCAAGAAAAAAAAAGCCCAATGTGGAGTTCTTCACTGGGAAAAGGGGAAAAGTGTTTATAGCTGCTGGGAAAAAGAATGGAGTTAAACACACAATGGTCCTAGGGGGAAAAAACAGAATAAAACTATAAGATGAAAATGTTTTTAATCTTGCAGTAAAACAACAACCCTAATTGTTAAACTGAAGCTGCAGTGGAAGTGTTTAGACAAAAGCATATGCCTGTATTGGAATGGCCTGGTCAGAATTACGTATATGGAAAATGATCTCTTCAGTTTAATGCAGATTTTGCTTTTCTAAAATGGCAAAAGAAAAATCAGCCACAATTTTAGTGTGGAAATTTAAAATATACAGAACAGACTTGAGCAAAATGCTTACAATCTTAATTAAATGGGGTTCTACAAATGGCTGATTAAGAGTTGATGAATACATTTGCATGCCACTTTCTTGATTTTTATTTTGTTAAAAAAATAAAATAAAACCATGCATCCTCTTCCTTCAACTCCACATATCCATGCTACTTCACACTGGTTAAGCAAAAGATTTCTAATAAGAAATGGTCTGGCTTTGTAAGAAAATATGAAAGCTACTGAAGGCTTTAAATGATTTTTTTCCCAAACTCAACACAAAAACTCTAGTCTTTATTTTCATTGCACAGTCATGCAGTGTACACCAGCTCAACGAAATTGGGGCACAGCTCTCTCCTCAGTGCACAGTCTTGCATAAATTTCAAAATAAATAACTAAACAAGGCATGCATTTACCAAAATAACACTTATGGAAGCTACTACAAATGTTTGCAATCTGGCAGCGTTTTGCAGCTGCATCTTATTTCACTTTTTCTATACTGCAAAAAAAATCTATTTGAACAATTTGCCTGTTTCCAGTAAGGTTTGCATTCTTTTATGATTTTCTAGAATAACAATCTTGAACGAGCGCTTGACTGGATCTTCACCCACCCAGAGGATGAAGAGAGCGATGCCCTGTCAGATATGGCAGACACAGAGCCCAATGACAACGCATTTTCCAACACCAACTCGCATAGCGACTCCACATTGTCTCCAGACAGAGAAACATCAGGCCCAAGAGTCAAAGATGGACCAGGACGTAAGTCTCTCATATTTCTGAGGTTGCCTCCTTTTTTTCTTTTCATGGAATTTTGTTTAATTATATTTAATTCTATTTTATTTTTAAAATTTTATTGAAATTCAATTCAAAGAATTGCAGCCTGATACTGGGCAGGATGCAATCTATGCAACAAGTCCAGTCATTACTTTACCTTGTTTCTAAATAATCCACCATCAAATGTCAGTTGTATATCATGTCAGTTATATAGCATTATAACAAAGTGGGAGAAATTGGGAACAAAATTGGGTGGAAAACCCCCCCACTAGTTTTTCTGCAAACTCAGTCAGTGGCTGTAGAACAGCTCCAAATGCAGTACAGTATATGGACTTCCAAAAATTCACAACGAAGGAACACCCGTAATATCGTAACCCTGGATAGGAAGCGACATGTCCTCAAACTTGGAAACAAAGTCCAGTGGATTGTTTTTTTTTTACTTTTTTGAAAGGAAATCCCAGAAAATAAAACATCAAGACTTTTAGACTTTCTTCGAATTTCAGAACAAAAGATTTAGAAAAAAAACTGTAAACCATGCAAATGTATGATACTTTAAAAGTAAAACGCTAAGTGCGTCCACAAACGCTACAAAATCCAGGGCATAACTAAGTAAAGAAAGCAGGTTTTCTATTTTTGAAACAACAATCTGAGGTATTCATTGGACATTCATGCATGAGCCTCTATTCTGCCTCTCCTGCCTGTATCTACGAAACATGCGCATGCGTACTGCAGTGGAACTCAAAGAATGACACACACACAGACACACACAGACACACAGAGCCACACACACAGGATGGAGGAGGAGACAGGAGCAGAGCGCCTTATCTTCAGAGATTTTGAAACTTGTTGAATCCTCTGATAAAAAGTACGTGTTCAAATTTCGGTTTTTGGCCATAGAGAGCTCATGTGGCCAAGACTAGCCATTTGTTTTACATAGCCAAACACTCATTAAAACAAGCAACTGCAGTCAATTTTTTGAAATAAAAATGAGAAAAATATATCAGCTTTAACTTTATTGGTGCCTTTAATTTCCAGATAGTTAAATCTGATGAGTGCCACTAAGATATTCTCATTAGAGAACAGTAGCCAAACTTAGATATTGTATTTTCATGGCCTAATTTACCAGACAGGATGTTTACATAAATCTGTTTTAAGGCTTTTTTGCACAGATAAGATTTTTTAGGTATGGAGGAACAGCTCTCCCATATATAAAAATAAATACATAGATAAATACATGCTCAATAAATAAATAAGCATTCAATTAATTACCCCCAAAAATACAATGAATAAATATGTAGGTAGAAATTAAATTATACAGTGAGACATAAATGTATATATATCTCTTAATTAGCTTCTTTATTTTTTTTTTACCTTTTCTGTAAACAGTTTCATTTGTTACTTGGATCGACTGTTTAATTGAGGTCTGAAGAAGTTTTCTCTAAGGGAAACCCTAAAGAAATCAGATGCCTTTTGTAGGGTTTTGTTTTCCCTAGAGATGTCCATTAACTGCAAACTCATAGCCATGTCTCGATGTGTAGAACACTACACAGTACCTTTCATTTGGTTCTAATAACAGCAGATTGTTTACTAGTTTGTCTACTAGTAAATACTTTAGTTTTTTTTATTATGCTGATCATAAAACAATTTTTACACTCTGTTATGTCATTGGCTGATCTTTAATAAATATTTTAACCAGTGTGTCAGACTCATTTTGAATTGATATTAGGTTGGTAAAACGTTAAGTAGCTTCTGATGTAGTTAAGCTACTGTTAACACATTAGTGTAACTTAGCTTGCTATAATTCTTTAGGTGGTAGCTTTGGTGTAGTGAAGCTTAATTTATTGTTGAGTAACTGATAGCTTAGCTCACTACACTGGACAAGTAGCTAGCCCAACACTGAGTGAGAGTTCCTATGCCAGGATGCTATGATTAAATCTGCTGTTTTCCTCCGTTAACTTGCATATATCCTCTTAGTCTGTGAATAATCAATGCATGCCAATCATCTGCCCACATTAATGCTCCTCAGCCCAACCTTACAGACCAGCTCCTCACCTTATCATCATCTCAATACATTTTTTCACAAGCATAGCTTGGCCCCTCAGTTCCAGTGAAAAGGAAAAGTTTGGACGATTTGGAACCTCTCTTACCTTTATTCTGTGGCAGTATAATGCACACGTATCAAACAGAAGAATTGAGAGTGTTTTTGTGGAAACAATGTCTGATACCTAGAGCTTGTGGATGTGTGAGTGAATGTGAATGGCTCAATGCATTGTAAAGGAATTTGGAATCCAAGTAAATCTGACATTGATCTCAAAATGCCTTTACTTTTTGACATTATGGAACTGTTCCATGTTAGTTTGTTTCTTATCTTGTTTTTGGCTTTTCTTCCCTCAAGGTTATGAGCTCTTTGCCTTTATCAGCCACATGGGAGCCTCCACCATGTCTGGACATTATGTTTGTCACATCAAAAAAGAGGGAAGGTGAGTTATAGCGGGAGCTTGCATCAAAAAAAGAACATACATTCCATTTTAAACAATTTGATACTATAATTCACTCTTTTTGCTTTAGCAACAAACCTTTATTTTGTAATCCCTCTACCCGTTGTTGCAGAATGGCTCTAAAGCGAGATTGTGTATAATTGACCCTTCGTTTTTCCTGTTCATTCAGGTGGGTAATCTACAACGACCACAAGGTTTGTTTGTCAGAACGACCTCCAAAAGACTTGGGCTACGTCTACTTTTACCGCCGTCTTTCGAGCAGTTAAAGCAACTGCCTCCCTGCAACCTTTAAATACCTTCAGTCTTTTACCTCCAAAGACTGGCAGACACCTGCAACGACAGCGGAAACGATGGAAGAAACCTCACAGATCAGCGTCTTGCCTTATCATCATCATCATCTCACACAGGAATGACCAGGAGTACAGGTCCCAAAAGGACAGCGGTGGGCTTTTTTTGTGCATTTATGTTTATGCTTTAAATGTAGATTTTATTATGTTAAAAGAAGGGAAAATGTGTAGGTACACAGGGATGCGTGCAATTTTTAATTCTGGAGTTCTCTGGAAACAAAATGAAGCAACATATCAGATCAGGCTTTTCCTCCTCTCTGCTGCTATGTCGTACTTTCAGAGCGCTACATTTTATAAATGTGTGCTGAGAGGGCAGTGCTTCACTACCAGCCCATAAATGCTCAGAACCTGTATCAAAAGATTAGTTATCATTGTACCGCTTGTGGCTTTGCATTTTGTTTTAAAATAAAATTGGTGTTTTGTCTTTGGGGTCACTTTGGATGTTAAGAAGAAATCCCCCCAAAAACACAGTTTAAGTTCCTAAATGTAAAAAAAAAAAAAAAAAAAAAAATACCAGAAAGGTTTGTGTTACTCCAACTGTAAATATACAGTATAACTGAAAACTTCCCCAGAAAACTGCAAACAAATTGTGGTTTTCACTTTCACTAACAAATCTGTCTCTCCTGTGGTGACATATAAAAACTAATTATCCAAAAGCACTTTTAAATATAAAGCGTGTTATATTCTGCACTTAATGCAGATGAAGTGGAGTAACATGTCTGTTCACCGATATATTCTAGTGAATGTGAAATCTTAAATTTTAGTTAAATAACTTCTTATACCGCAGCAGTATTGACTGGGGAGTCGTGGGTGAGCGGTTAGGGTGTCAGACTTGGATCCCAAAGGTTACCGGTTCGACTCCTGACCCGCCAGGTTGGTGGGGGGAGTAATTAACCAGCGCTCTCCCCCATCCTCCTCCATGACTGAGGTACCCTGAGCATGGTACCGTCCCGCCACACTGCTCCCTTGGGGCGCCATTGAGGGCTGCCCCCTTGCACGGGTGAGGCATAAATGCAATTTCATGGTGTGCAGTGTTCACTTGTGTGTGCTGTGTCACAATGACAATGGGAGTTGGAGGAGTTTCCCAAAGGGCTTTCACTTCACTTTCACTTTCACAGTATTTCATTTCAAATGACTGACTATAGCATGTGTTAATTTATTTAAGTTAGTGTTAGGTCCGTGCTTCTACAAGAGTTCTTTTTGTGACCTTAGTAAGCTTTTTTTTCTTTTTTTTTTGCCCAAATTGCAAAATTTTTGCTTTCTCTGCAAAATTGAACTCAGCTGCACCTGCTGCAGTTTGGTTCTTTCATCACGCTGACAGATTCAGACTGTGACCCAAAAAGGTGAAATGAATGTTTCGTTCACTTGTTGCCACCTTTCAGGATTCTTTCTTCATATTTTTTTGGAATACTTGTCTGGAGCAATATGCACTAAAACTGAACGGCAGAGCTGATCCGAAAGCTGCATACTGATCTGTATTATCTGCTGTTAAGCACTGCACATGCTTGTGCATTGCAGAATGTAAAAACTTTATGGTGCTTATTGTGAAACAGAACCTGCTTTCTAAAACCCACTAACCTATAAAAAATCATTCAATCTACTGTTTTTTTTTTTTTGTTTTTTTTTTTAAATCTCATTAGGATGCATTCAATATTCAGGATGCATTGAGGGCTGTTCTTTTGGTTTCTGTCAATCATATCAAACCTGGTGCTCAGATCGCTTGTTTTTCATTTCATAGTTTGCTATGGGTGAGTTACTTGTATAAACCAAGAGGTCAAAGAATGTTAACTTTACTTTATCAGTTTCGAGTGATTTTATTTTAATGGAAGAGAAAAAACTGGTTTATCTCCCCTCCCCCACTTGTTGCAGCATCCTGACTGCCATTGCAGTTTCAGCTTTAGTGTAAAATGAATATAAAGCAACCATTACTTTTTTTTTTTTGGCAAGCTAATATCAGCTTGTTTTACTTAGAAGACTCTTTAAAGAGCAGAACAGCAGGATGGTTTAATATTCCACATTTGGCAACTACTACTGTATTTAGTGATCACTTTTTTTTAATCAATATTCTTATGTTAGCAGGAGCAGGAATAATTGTATTTTTTTTCTTTATCTTAAGAAAAAAAAATCATTATTTTACATTAAGTTTTTTTTGGGTTGTTTTTAACCCAGTGAATCTGTGCTATTGGTTGCCAATTAGTTAACTGGAATGGAACTGGTTTTAGTGGATGCATCTCAACAGAAGACAATGCCAGATAGTGGTGGCAGTTATTTTGTCCATTGAAATGTTATGTGGTAACCCAGTGGAACTGGATGGGTGACATCTTTATATTCTTTTTAGAATTTAAAGTCGAAATAATAATAATAATAAAAAACAATGAATAAAACTGGTAAGGACAGTATATTGCGTCAGTATGCTCCTCTTTTTTGACAAACTAGTAAAGAATTAATACTTGACCTGTAATCTGTTACAATTATTTTTTTTCCACCCCGAGAGTGAGAAGCAGAAATGCTTCGGAACCACTGCAGTAATTCACTTTCAACTTTTCTTTTTAAAGAGGACCTCTGTGGTTTCAAAAGTTTTTTTTGTCCATCAAACATCAAGTCCAGCTGTTAATTGCTGACATGTTAGTTTCCATGATAAAACAGATACTAACTAATCAATGTTAAGTTATTTATAATAAAAATCCATAAACCATTAAAGCTGGTAACTGTAATATGATAAAGTTATGACAAAAAGCAGCAAAATGGCAAAATATGGATTCATTTCTAATCATATTTTAGCCAACTAGTTAAAATGATAAACCTTATGTTCCACTGTGCTCCTCTTTAACAACACCGTGCCTAAATCCTGACTCAAATTTCATCTTCTCGATTAACGGCTGCTGTGTTTCCTGTATTTGCCGCAGGAAATATTACTAAAAATCTCTATGCAAGTCCTGCGTTTTTTTGCTGCTCATCATCAGCTGATGCCTGATGAGGTGTTTGTCTGGCTTTGCTGCAGTCTGTTCTAAAAATGTCCACGTCTGTAAATTTTTTGTCATTTTGCTGGTCCTTCTTTTTCACGGGCCTTCCTGGTTAGACATTTTCTTTTGGGAGATCTTGTTTCGTTTCAGCTTTCCCTCTGCTCAGTCTGTTTTAGTCTTTTTTCAATTTGTTACAAAAAAAAGTTTCACATTCAGCATGTGCACTACATGTAGTTATTTGGCTTGTACAATGGTACATTTGCAGGTTTTACTCTTTTTCATTTGCCTAAATGTCAAACATGTTCTACCCTTTTTTTTTTCTCTCTGCTGCCTTTTTTTTCAAAAAGATTTGTGCCATTTCTTTAGTTCTCAATAGTTTTTCAGATGGGATTGTTTTAGGTTGACTTTTGTAATCTAGCCTTTAATTCTAATATGCCTTCAATGTACGTAAATACTGAACAGTATATCTAGTGGCACTGTTTACTTTATGTTTGGGTAATTTAATAAACACATTTGTTGAAACATGTTATATTTTATTTTTTTTTTTTATAAACCTGCAATTTCTCATCTGAGGATTTTCTTTCATTGTTTTAATAAAGACAAGGAAGTTTTAAAAGAAACCACATTTTACACAGAGTGTAATTTGAGTTAGAAAAGAATCAAATCCACATAAAAAATGCAGAGTATTACAAAAAAACCAACAACAAAAAAAAAAAACAACAAAAAACAATGCCTTAATTAAAATAAAACAAATTTTGACTTTTTAATCAGACACCAGGGTAGTGGTTAAAGTACTAGAGAACGCTCAGGACTCTGGTAGCTGCATATTGAAGGAGCTGCTGCTGCCGCCTGATATCTTTTATTAAAACCTGTAGGTGCATGCACCAGTACATTAATTTTAGCTTTTCTTTTTTTTAAGATACCCTTTATCCTAGCACTTTTTTTATATCAATAAACTTGAATTTTGTTATTGAAACTTATACAAGTCAGTGTAAGCAGCAAGGATTTTTTTGCTTGGTCTGTTGTCATGGGCTTGTCATGCAGTCATTCAGATTCCTGTTTCTAACCTCAAATCCTGAATTCAGACCCATAAACTAATGAATGCTTTTGGACACACTAGCTCAGTGATTGCAGGATACTATGGTCAAGTGGAAGCAATGAAATTTAAAGTTGTACATCATCAGCATAGGCAGTGGAGTCTCCCAAAGAAAGACACACAAGCAGAGAATATGTAACAATAGTTTATTTTAAAAGATCACTTCCATAACTTCTTAATTTAAAGTTGCTAAAGCTTTTCTTTTGATTATACAAGTCGAGTAATAAGAATTAGATAATGTGACTCAATAAATATTTGGACGTATAGAAAGTATATCAATTCTAGTTTCATTCATCAAAATATAGTTTTATTCATTCATGTGGGATGCTTCTATCAAATTAGCTAAAATAGCTAATAGTTTCTATACATTTTGCCATAAACAAAAAAACAACTGTAAACAGTGGGGATTAATGATATTCTTGAGCCCCGACCTATAAGCAGCTTTAAAAAGTGTTTTAAATGCTATAAAGTTACGCAGCAACAACGCCAGCATATATATTATTACATCTGCAAGCATCCAAATGTGTTCTAACCATTTTTGGAGACATGAAATACCACAGAGTCTTAAAAAAAAAAATCAAAGAAAATGTATAATGTAATAAAAAAAATCTTTTTGGATTCAATCTATTTTTTTGTCAATTTGTTTTTAAAGTAACCAGTCTTGTAAGAAGTTTTGCGCTTTAAATGAAAACAATTATTATAAGGTATTTGAAAGTACTATTTTTAAGTCAAATTGTATTCCAGAAAAAAAGGGTTATAGTTTTAAATATAAGCAGCTATTTTAAATAGTTTCAGTGAATTGGTTAGAAATATTTTACATTTAGAACAATTACATTCCCTATAACCATCCTACTGCTGAATCCCTGCCTTTACTTTTTCAAACATTGGGTTTAAAATGTTCCTTTCTTCTCAACTGATACACTAATGTTAAATTTGATTTGCTCTTGAGTTTTTACATGAGCATTCCAACTTCGAAATGTCATCCGTATACATCAGGCATAGGCACTACTGCTACAACATTAACACAAATACAACCCAAATGTTGCAGCAATGAAACAATAACATGTGGAACTTATGCTACACCATGCATAAAGGGTTCAAGTGGCTCCAACAGCTGACGTATGACTTCTGTTAAGGTCAAATTCAGTCAGTAGTTATTTTTTAGCACTTGGGCTCAATCATATACTGCATACAGGCAATAAGTAGGAAAAAAAAGGAGAAAATCAGCAACAAAAAAACAGAAACTGACATCAGTTCAATAGTGAATTACACCCTTTGTCCCCAAAAAGCTTGCACTATACAAAATGGGGGCAGCTAATAAACAACATGCAAACTTCATATACCGTAAAGAAAATAAGAGTTTTAGTTATGCTAGCAAACATAGCAAGATAGGAAAATGTCAGTGAAAACTAAATAGCAAGTGGTAAACACAACCACTTCCAGCTTTTTATCAGTATTATAATTTAAAAGAGAAGGTGATCTCTATGATCACTACCATATTTAATATTTTTTAAATAAAGCTGAATTGTTTTCTTTATTCTCATTGTTTTTTTGGTCCCAAATGCACCCTGCACAGTTTATCTTTTATGCCACAAACCATACCTTGTGTTTAATAAATACTAAATATATAAATATTGTTTTAATGATAAGGTTGCAGTACACTGTAGAAATATTGAAAGGGAACCTCCTCATGTGTTGAAGATGTTTTTTATATATATATATTAGTGATAGCAAAAGTGAGGATTTACATGCATTAAAATGAAGTATAATTCTGTGCCATAACTAACATGCTATCAGCCTGATGATTTCCCTCAGGAGCATGCGCTATGCTACTTCAGTTCACCTGAGAACATAGTTAGTTTTTACAAACTTAATTTACAGGATCAAAAAGTGAAAACCTAGAAAGAAAAAAAAACAAAAAGAAATTTAGAACAGATCTGAAAACCAACAAAAACACTATAGACCTCATGTTTTCAACAGTTTTTGTCAACAAATATGACAAACAGAAACAGGTAGTGGTTATAAAATAATTATAAAGAAAATGGTTTCCCTTTGCATAAAGTAACTAAAAGTTATTAAATATCAGACATGGTATGAAGGTGGACAGAGGACTGTCTAGAACTCTATTCTCTGTTCAACAACCATAATGTTAGTTGATGCATGTTGATAGAATCACCAGTGAAAACATTTCATTTGAGTGCTGGAAGTGTATACTTTCTTTTTTTATATACAATATATCCAGATAAAAAAGGCAACTAAAGCTAGCCAATGACATCTGTGATCCTTTTGGATAATTTCCCAGGGAGAATTTGCAACATGAACCTTTCTCTTCACGTGCACATCCCTAGACCTGTATATTTTATAGTAAGGTAACTTACAAGTTCATATATTAAAATAAATAATAGTAATAAAAAAAAAACAATAGAATTAATTTAAAGAATCATTTTCTCTGTGTATAAACCATTAGCTCTTTTGACAAAATGGTCCAAAGGCTGGAAGTGTCGTTTTGATTCATAAGCAGGCTGTACCAAACTTATCTAATAAAGCAATAGGTAAATTTATCTCATGATGAATTGAATGAATGAAGGAAGAGAGGCTCTAAATAAAGCAAATGTGTAACATTTCAGGCTGTTTAGGAGAATTCAGTGAGAATAATTCAGTTTGTGGATGATTTTAGAAGCAAAAGAAAGTTGCATGAAACAGCGATAAAAAGAAAACTAATAACAGTAGTACATGTATATAGTTTTGTAGTGCACTAGTAACTGCTAATGATCTTCTTAACTGCTGCAGTTAGTAGGTAACCTTAATGTAGAAACAAACACTAGATGATCTAAAATAAACCAGACACCTGTCACAATAGTAATAACCTGTGTTAACAGAACTGGCATTTAGAAACCTAGCAGTTAGCGTGCTCCCAAAAAAAGACTGCTGCAATACCTGTGTCAAGTACAGTATAAAACATGCAACATTAAATCCAAAGGCTTCAAAACCTTTGAGTTTTATTTGATATGAATCCAGATAGGGAGAGAGAAGTTTAGCATTATCCAACTATAGTGATTTCCTCATTAAAAAAACTAAACAAAAACAACCTTTGTTGGCCCATGAACATTTTGTAATAGATATATTTTTTTCTTTTTGCATGAAATCTGAATGGTCTTTAAGTGGTAATGACAACAGTGGCTTACAAAAATATTCATACTTCTTGAAAAGTACATTATAACCACAAAGTTCACTGAATTTAATGTTGATTTTATAACACAACGCATAGTATTGTTGGTGAAGAATAATAAACAGAACATGTGGTTTTATTTCTCCACAAATTCAGATCACAAAAAAAGGCACGAAGCCTTCAGTACACTGTACCTGAAATAATCCAGTGCAACCAGTTTGCTTGCAAAGTTACCAAATCACTAAATAGCGTTCACCTGCTCTGTGTAGGCCTTTAAGATCAGGGGTGAGGTAAAAATATACAAAGCAGGCTTAGGTTATCAATACGTTTAGAACATCTTGTGGAGCCCTGCTCATTACATCATCCAAAAAGTGAAAGAGTTTGGCAGAACTGCAAAGCTACCAAGGAATGGTAATCTACCTAATGGGCCAAATAAGAAGAGCATTAGCATTAGAAGCAGCAATCATAAGCAACCCTTATGACTCTAGAGGAGCAACAGAGATTCCTTGCTCAGGTTGGAGAGTCTGTTACTGCCAAATATTAGTGATGCCCTCAATCTGGCCCATACTGAGGAGTTTCAACAATGAAAGTCACACTGAAAGAAAGACACAGGAAGTCACATGTTGAGAGCAATTGAAAAATCTGGAGGAAGATGTTCAACATGCAATAAAACCCCAATACTTTTAAACTAATCCTGCTAAAAAAAAAAGCAGCTGTTAGCATCAGGATATGAGGAGGTTTCTACGGAGTGAATAGGACCTTAATACAAGGCAATCCTAAAATAGATCATGGTAAAAATACCACAACAGCTACAGTGGACTGGGTTTACACAGTTCTGCACCAGAATGGCCTAGTTAAAGACCAAACCCAACTCTTGCAAGACTTAAAGTTGCTTTTTACAGATGCTCTTCATTCAACCTGGCTGATCCTGAGCTATTTTGCTAAGGAAAATTGTAAGAAAGCTCAATCTCTAGCAAATATTAAGCTGGCAAAAAGAAAATGCTAAAAGATGGTTACACATAGAAACCTGGTTGACTTCGGGGCACTGGGAACACATTCTAGTTACTATTTTCTGATTTAATAAAATAAAAAGGACATAAATACATGTTTTTATGGTGCAACATATAATTCCAATAAAACACAATCAAAGTTGCAGCTGCAATGCGACAGATATGAAGACCTCTGCAAACAAAGACAAAAACGAGCTGAAAACTGTTAGAAGAAAAATGTGTACAGCTGTGAATTCTGTGTGTGCAGCTGCAGCCGCATATGCAATGCCATATGACAGAGTGTCAATGCTGCACTTCACCTGGTTCATGTTTGTTCTCGCTCAGCCGCCTGATAAAACACTCCTTCTAACACAAAGTGTGTCATCCCAGCTGCACTGTTTGGAAGATGAATGGTTCTGGTGCTGGTCTCTGGTCCCCGCTGATAGCATTCATTCAAAACACAGAATCAACACTTCCCTTTGGTCCACTGAGGCAGATGGGGACAAACATGAAACATGACCTTTTGCATAGAAGCTGACAAAAAAAACAAAAAGCTTTCTGCAGCACACCCAGACTGTGGACATGGCTGATAGACACTAAAGTGAGCAGTTCAGTCTACTGCACGGCAAACTGCATGAAGCTCACCTTACTTCCGAAATATGCTGACTAAAATATAAAAAATAAAAAACACATTTATAGAAAATACTCTGAGGTGCTGAAAAGCATTTTATCATAAGCAGGAGCTTCACTTCATTGTTTAATATTTATTAGGTAGTATGAATAACATTAACTCATTCATAATATCATTTTTTTCTTTTTGTGGATGCATATTAATGTAAAAGCAAACAAACAAATCTGTGCAACAGTTTAAGCAGTGCTCCATAAATATTGCATGTCGGCTGAGGGTAAATGATTAAATGAAATGAATGAGCCTCACTGCTGGTGGGGGAGCAGCAGAGATACAAATGACTGAATTAAATAAATTCATCAAGCTGCTGTCTCAGTCCTTGGCCTGTGAATGCACCTCTTTTCATCTGATGTAAATATGCGCTCTAAAAATGAATACAGTCAGCATAAATAGGAATTAGGCTTTTCTTTGTTGGGGCTTCTGAGAAGAGATATATTTTTAGAAATATAATCACTTTTCCCTCTGAGAGAAGTTCAAAAACACTATTTAAATAATCATTAACCCGCTCATTGTGCACATTCCTGTAGCCAGTCAGCATTAAGGAAAGAAATATTACACACAAACTGCATAAATATAGAAACAACCAAACTAATATTAGCTGATTGGAAATCTCACTGGTTATAAGATCAGCTTTTGGCTAGGTAATCTTAATCTGGTCTGAAAATGGCTTAGATATATTTTCTTCCTTGTTGCCGTAAAAATATTGTAAATAAATAAGGTTGGACACATGCATCCTAGTAAGGCTTTACAACTGCGCATTCCACTCAGAGTAAGTTATCTAAAAGTGCAAAGGGAAAACTTCTATAAGTCTTTTGGATCTATCGGTTTCTAGTAATTATTATTATTTTATTTATTTATTTTTTTTGCAGAACATTATGTCACAATTGACAGAGGTTAAGCTGAAGCCAGGAAGACAAACTGAAGCTCCGGGTTACAGGGTGCAGCCTTTATTGTTCCCTGACTGGATCCATCTGTCAGATAGAGATACAGACAGTCCTGAGTCAACAGTTCTTCCACTGAAAAAGCCTCTTCTTCTCTGCTGCAAATGGCTTGTGAGGGTTGCTCTGAGGGAGTCTTAAATCTGACTGTCACTCCTGGCTCACCTCAGTTCCACTGCATGAGTCAGTTTTTAATTGATGCGTCCTCTAAGGCATTGCTCGTACAATCTTTGCCCGTCCTTGTGCTCTTTAGGGAAATCACAAATTGCAGTGCAAATTCCATCACTAAGCAGTCTATTCAAATCCTTGGAAGAGCCGGCCCTCTGAACTGCTCAGAAGAAATTTAGAGCAGGAAAAATAATTTGACCTTTTTAGTTAATTTTGAAGTGTAGAAACTGAACACATGCTTGGGTGTTGACTCAAACACATGCACTTTGGGCTTTTGGCTATTGGTTGGATATCAAAGGATAAAAGATGGAGCGTACCCAAACATCGCTTCCATTGATTTCTCAAATGTCCAAGTTAAAGGCCCGCATCAGGAGATCCAGGTCGCCAATGTTTGCAGCCTGAAAGAGTTCAGGTTGGTCCATCATGGATAAAGCTATCCTCAGAGCTGCCCAGATGTTACCAGACATCACATGATTGGACTGCTGGCCACTCTGGCTCTTCCTCTGGAGACTTAAAGCTGTCAGGAAGTTACTGGCTGCCTCCCTGGGGAAACAAAAGGGATATATTACGTTTGACAGGCTAGATTGTAATAGCTCCAGCATGATTATGCAACTGTCTTGTTACATATTTTGAACAAATTATAAATAAATGTCACGTTGTCATAAATTACAAAGATTGTCATTTATTTTTGTGATTTTATGTGAAAGGACAAGTAAGTACACAATAGTGAGGTGTAAATAAAATTAGGTACAAATACAAATAAAATGTTTTGTGTACCTCTGCATTCAGACCTCTTTTCTTTGATACCCCAAAATGCAACCTATCAACTGTCTCTGCTGGAATGCATTTTGGGGTATCAGAGGAAACTTGCTAACACCAGATTCAACATTAGCTCTTCATTTTCATGATGATATTTTTTTTTTTAGTAATGTTCTCTAAAAAAAACTTTCCTGTAAAACTTGGGTTACTGTTAGGTGAAATACTAACACCATGAAAACTATGAAATAATGCATATTCTTTATAGGTTCAATATTATTCTACATTTGAAAATAAAAAAAATATTAACAGTGAGGCCCCCAGAGCATGTTTTTGTCATTTGTGCAGGAAATTTCCTGTCAGATTAGACAGACAGTATGGCCCAAAAAACTCCATATTTATTCCTATTCTTAGCGGGCTGTTTCAGCTTTCCATGCCCCCATCTTCCTGAAGGCTGTGAACCCAAAACCCGCAACCATGACAACCAGTCAGAGTTTCTAAAGATAGCAGCTAGGTGCATGGAATAATAGATGAAGGCCATAACTAGACCGATGGGATGCTATAGAACACTCTGGACAGCCTATTTCCCCTTATGATATCATAAGAGGAAAGCTTTACAAACAGATGATTTTTAACACACGTTAGCTAATAGGTGGAGAAAGGCAATTATAGAGGTGACAGGACTTTTACAAAATGTTTATAATGTGAATTTTGTATATGGGCCCATTAAAGCAGTGCTAGTAAGCTTCAAACACCTCATTCAGCAATGCTAAAGCTATAATCTATTACACAGTCTGACAGCATGGCTCAACAGCAAACCTACTAAGACTGCCAACCTTAACTGACAGTCCAGACGAACATTTATCTGGGGTCCGTTTCACGAACAGCTTTACTGAAAACTCTAAGTTGTCTAAACCTAAAAACAGGGAAACTCTGACTTTTCCATTTCACAAAGAGAGTTTCCTCAACCTTTATTTCAGTCACCGTTGTAACATTCTCCCCAGAGCTAACCTAGACTGTAGCAGGTTTTCTTCAGTAAACTCTGTCTCTGCTCTTCTTACAGACAATCAAGCTGTTTTATTTCCAGAAATAGTCACATTTTTTGTGCATAGAAAAAAAAAAAAAAAAAATCCTAATTTGTTATGCCTACTTCATGAAACGGACTGTCAACATAAAACTGTCAGTTGTGCAGAACTCAAACCTGCCCCTCATGGCACAGTTGAAATAAAAGACTCATTGTTTAAAAAAAAAAACAAAAAAAATCATTAGAAATTTTCAATAAGATGGTGCATTGTTCAGTTGATAGCAAACTTTTTGTCCAAATGCAAAATGCTTTGTCTAGTAGAAAACTAATACTGTTCATCACCCAAACACACTATCTTCACAATATAACATGGCAGAGGCGGCATCATGTTTTTTTTAAAAGATGGTCGAAATCACCCTAGGCATGGATAGCCTACAACAACTCCCGATGCTGTAACTAAAGCAATAGATAATTTAATACATAAAAGCAACATTAAAAGAAAGTTACGGATTTGATTTATGATGTGACAAAAGTTTAAGGATATTAGTATTTCAGCTTTTTTCTCCAAGTGTGAGTCTCTATAGCTCTCTATTTATGTTTTATGTCTCTGGGGAGTTCTCATTTCAAAGCTTTACTTAACTCTGTCCTCACAAAATGCCAATATTACACTCACCGGCCACTTTATTAGGTACACCTGTCCAACTGCTCGTTAACCCTTAATTTCTAAGCAGCCAATTAACATGGCGGCAACTCAGTGCATTTAGGCATGTAGACATGGTCAAGACAATCTCCTGCAGTTCAAACCGAGCATCAGTATGGGCAGAGGCGATTCTAGAGTCTGTGGGGGCCCCAAGCAAAAAAATCCTAGGGGGCCCTACTGACCAGTGTTCATCACCGTTATGTTAGGTTATAAATAATCTGACACCAATGAAAAATGTATTAAATAAAACCTTTTTTTATTCCAAATGTTCTAAACATGAACAACCTTGTTATTTTGGAAAATATAAAAGAATAAAAGTAAAAAATAAACTAATAAATTAAAATAAATGTATAATAAAATAAAAAAAACCAGTAAATTACTTTAAAAACCCAATATAAACTTTATACAAAATATAAAGTATAGTAAGTGTAGTGAAATTATTGGGGTCCTATACTGCTTCCAGAATTGCTGCTTACGGGCCTTGGCTTGTGCAAATGCAGACACTGAGGCCCCGTCCACACGAAGTCAAACCCTGGCCTAAACGCACTAATTTTTCACCAAACCAGCCTCTCATCCATACGAAGCCGGCGTTTCGGGGGTCTGTAAACGATCTTTTTTTTTATTAAGCCTTCAGAGTGGAAAGATTTTGAAACGCCGTTTTCGCGTTTCCATCTTTAAGCTCTAACCGCTTTTTTTTTTTTTTTTTTTTACACGCATGCGTCATAGCATTGCCTCTAAACACGCATGCGCGACACAGTATCACAACAACAATGGCGCCGTACTGTGTTGAATGGTTGCTGCTAATGCTACTCACCCTGCTGTCGGGCTTACAACAGAATCTTCTTCTTCTGGAATATCTCCAGGAAGAACAGAGCAATATAGATGACATAGTTCAGCACCTGAATTTGACTGAACCACGAAAATGGACCCGCAGGGCAACCATGTATAAATATTAGTGCGCATGCCCAACATTTCGTCGCCTATTTTTGCTTTGGAAACACAGCGCCAAAGGCCTGGCATACATTTTGCAGCGTTTTCATGCATCTGTGTGGACGATCACATTTATTTTACGTCTCCGTCTTTACGACAAACGTTCTGGAAAATATTAGCGTTTCGTGTTCGTTTTGACTTCGTGTGGACGGGGCCTAAGTCCTCCAGATCCAAAGACCTTCGCACGCTATACTCTATAGAAATAAACGCCAGTCCTGAAAGTCTCTCTTGAGACATGGAAAATTAATAATTTTCCTTCAGCTTAGTTACATAATTGCTTTCCAATTTACTGAACGATAGGCCTACAACGTCACCCATTCGCTAGGCTACGTTCATTTTCATTAAAGGCACACTATGCAACATTTTTCAGTTAATTAATGTGTTCCATAACGTTATGGATGATTAAATGATTCATTTCAGGTTGAACAAAGGTATTCTCGGCCGCCCTGGTGGTCTGTGGGGGAAATACTGCACTTGCAATTGCAGGAGCACCGACTCGCACCCACAGGCTCAGAAGTCTCGTGAGAGTCAGTCTTGCTTTACGGCAAGAACTGCTACACGCCCCCAGTTAAAAGCATTCTCGTTGCTAGCACAGTGGCGATCTTTGTGCAGTTATGCTACGTTCACATCGGACGCAGCAAAATCGGGTCTGCTGCTTCAATTTTGCTGCTTGTACCAGTTAGTTCTGACGCGCGGCTGAAGCAGCTTTGCTGCTCTGGCTGCGCGGTGCAAAAGTGTGTCTGACGCGCTTTGGGTGGAGCTTCACTATCCTTTCTCTGCCTTGCAGCTATATTTGCTGTGATCAGTGGGAATAAAGTAGTTTTAATATGTGTTTAAGTGAGAAAATACACCGGAGCCGCTCAGACCCCCACATACCAGCGGTGCGCCGACAGTAGGAATCCCTTCATCAGCAGCCTCTGGCCTGGTCGCCTCCTCGCGGTTCACCAAGGCAGCTGGTAGGTGTTTTTCATCTAAATAATCCAAACTGCATATTCTGCCGGCAGATTTCTGCATTTTAAGTTAATTTAGGCGTCAATAAACTGTTTAAGAGGAGTGATCATCAGCGCTGTGTCTCTCTCCCTGCGTCAGATGCTTAAACGCGCCCGATGCGCTGCTTCAGCTGCTCAGATGTGCTGCGCCTGCTGCTCAAAACGCGCCGCGGGACCTTTTGCTGCGCCTTGACGTTACGTTGCATGTAAACTCGCTGCTTCTGTCGCGCTAGCTGCAGTGTGAACGCAGCATTAGTCATTCGTTGCGTTCGCCTGTCTGCTAAGCTCAAAACAACCGCGCCTGGCTTGACGGAGAAACCAGGAGAACAGCTGTGCATATTTACGACAGTGCACTTTTACTTTCGCCCTCTGGGGGGAGCCTCGCTGGAAAATCAACACCGGTTGCATAGTGTACCTTCAAGGGAAGTCATCCACCTGGGCTGGGCAAGGCTGGATTTTGACTGGGCAAAGCCAACGTCAATCAACGTTCCATCCAATCAGAATTTTTAAATGCAGTTGTGCATCTCCTCAGTCACTATAGCGTTGCCACTTCATGCTCGCCTGTTGCTGTTTATCTACCGGGTGTACAGTAGCTGGCTCTCGGGGGGCCCCCCAGCGGCTCGGGGCTCCAAGCAGTTGCTTGGTTTGCCTGTTGACAAGGTGCGCCTCTGAGTATGGGGAAGAAAGGTGATTTGAGTGACTTTGAACGTGGCATAATTGTTGGTGCCAGAAGGGCTGGTCTGAGTATTTCAGAAACTGCTGATCTACTGGGATTTTCACGCACAACCATCTCTAGGGTTTACAGAGAATGGTCCGAAAAAGAAAAAAACATCCAGTGAGCGGCAGTTCTGTGGGCGGAAATGCCTTGTTGATGCCAGAGATCAGAGGAGAATGGCCAGACTGGTTGGAGCTGATAGAAGGGCAACAGTGACTCAAATAACCACCCGTTACAACCAAGGTGGGCAGAAGAGCATCTCTGAACGCACAGTACGTCGAACTTTGAGGCAGATGGGCTACAGAAGCAGAAGACCACACTGGGTGCCACTCCTTTCAGCTAAGAACAGGAGACTGAGGCTACAATTTG